CGGCAATAAAGGTATCGACGTGTATAATTTCAAATGGTTTAGAGGGTGTTTCAGTTAACATTAAAGGTTGATCTGGTGGTTTTCGTTGATATTTTGCTCGCTGGCAAATTTCACATTCGTTAATATATTTTGTAACATCTGACTTTAAGGATTTCCAGTAATAATTATTTTTTAAGAATTTACAAGTTTCTTCTATGCCTCTGTGATTAGTTTTACCTTCATGTTTATATTTAATTAATATATTTCGTTCTTCCGGTTCAACATTATTTATTAATTTTGTGCATTCGATTAGTTTATAATTTTGAAAATGTTGGGCGATTACTTTTTGTACAATTGGTCTTAGTTGTTGAGATAAAAAGTGAATATACGTCTTTTTGTTATTTAAATGTTCTTTGAAGAATTTTGTTAAACTAATTTCTTCTTCTGGAATTGTTGCATGTAATATATTATGACCGTCGAAGTTTTTAAAGTTACATTTAACATAAGTAGAATACGGAGATTTCTGAAGTATTATCTGATTTGGTTTGTTGTTAATAATTTCATTTAATATAGGTATTCCTTGTAAAGATTCGTCAGTATTTGTACTATGAATTGTATTTTCAAAAGCCGGTCTTAAAAGTTTGTTTTCGAGAATGATTATTTTTGGGCTCTTAGGACGTTTATTTTCTATTTCTTCGAGTGTTTTCGAAATTTCATTTGAGTCTAATTTATTCGGATCAAAATCGTTGTCTAGAAATTTGTTAATATCAAGATCAATATCTCCAGGATTATTGTAAATAGAGTCGGTTTCTAAAGCATTTAATTTTATTCGTGACAAGGCGTCCGCATTTGTGTTTTGTTTACCATTTTTATAAAGAATTTCATAATCAAATTCTTCTAGTTTAAGTCTCCATCTCATAAGTTTTGAATTTGGTTCTTTTAGGTTAAATAACCAGACTAATGGTCTGTGGTCTGTAAAAATTTGGAATTTTCTACCGAAAAGATACGGTCTAAAATATTTACAGGCCCATACTATGGCAAGTAATTCTTTTTCCGTTGTAGAGTAGTTTTGCTCGGTGTCATTAAGTGTGCGAGACGCGTATGCGACTGGGTTATCGTTTGGTGGTGTGCCTTGTGATAATACGGCACCTAACGCGTAATTTGATGCGTCTGTAGTTAACACGAATTGTTTTGAAAAATCTGGATATTTTAATATTGGGGCATTTATTAGTAATTGTTTTAAATGGTTGAAAGCTGTAATAAATTCGGGGCTGTGTTCTACTTTAGATTTTTTCTTTAGACATAAGGTCATTGGTTTTGTGATTTTAGCAAAATCTTTAATGAATCTTCTGTAGTATCCTGCCAATCCTAGAAATGACTTAATTTCTTTTTGTGTTTGGGGGAGAGGAAAATTTTTTACTACTTTTATCTTGTCAGGATTTGGACTAACGCCTTCTTTAGTGATTTTATGACCTAAATACGCTACTTCTTTATGTAGAAATTCTGATTTATCTAATTGAATTTTAAAGTTTGCCTCCCTTAGTCTCTGAAAAATTTTTCTTAATCGATCAATGTGTTCCTGTAGGGATGTGGAAAAAATTATAATATCATCTAAATATACTAAACAGATTTCGTTTTGGAAGCCTCTTAGCACATTATTCATAACACGTTGGAACGTCGAGGGTGAGTTTTTCAATCCGAAAGGCATGCGTTTAAATTCGAAAAGTCCAGTACCAGTAGAAAAGGCTGTCTTTGGGATGTCATCGGGATGCATTTCTATCTGATGAAAACCGTTAGCTAGATCCAGAGTTGAAAAATACTGAGCTTTACCGAGTTTATCAAGAATATCTGAGATATTAGGCAAGGGAAATTTATCATCAATTGTTTTTTCATTAAGTTTCCGGTAATCTATGACAACGCGCCATTTACGTTTATTTGATGCATCTAATTTTTTTGGTACGATCCATATAGGACTACTCCAAGGGGAATGTGAGGGTTGGATTATATTATTTTTTAGCATTTCGTCTATTTGTCTATTTACTTCGGCTTTATGTATTTCAGGATAACGGTAATTTTTTGTGTAAACGGGGGTTTCGTCAGTTAGATTAATTTTGTGTTTAATTTGATTCGTGAAAGATAATGGCACTTTATCACAATAAAATATGTCTCGATATTCGTAACATAACTTCCTAATTACTTTATATTCTTCTTTATTACAGTGATTCAGTCTTAAATTTTTTAGATTTTCTTTTTGCAGATTGTCGAAATTACTTATTGAATGTTCGATTAAATTTTCATTGTTATCTTCTATTTTTGTTATAAAATTAGTTTCACATTCATTTATTAATTCTATTTCTAGAGGTTTAATAAATTGTATACTAACAGGATTTTCAGATGTGTTAGTAATGGTTGTTAACGCGAATGAATCGACAATTTTTACTAAAGCTTCGGGCATTTCAGCATTTACAAATTTTTCATATTTTAAGATTCCTATACCATTTTGTTCTGTCACGGGTATTTTAACTTTATGTGTTGTTCTTGGTTGAATAATAATTTCATCGAATGTAAATTTGGATTCGTCAAAATTTTTATTTATTTTTGGATCCGCTGGGGTGTTTTTAATATTATGTTGGTAATACAGTGGAATTATTACATTCGGTGTTTCCAGTGTAGACTCGCTAATATTTATTTTTGATTTTATTTGTTTCAAAAGATCTACTCCTATAAGTCCATCAAATTTTGGGGAAAAGTTAAAAAGATAGAATTTATGTTGTTGATCAGGACAATTAAAAGAAGGAAATAATGGTATTGTCATTACTTCATTATGAACGGATGTTGCATGAGCTGACATTACTGAAAAATTTTCAATATTTATAAAGTCTGGGTAATATTTGTAAGCTAACTGTGGATTTATAAAACTTTTCGCGCTACCTGTATCTAATAGAAATTGAGCATCAAGTTCAGGAAAATAAACTATTGGTAAATCAGAATGATTATAATTATTAACATATATTGAAGTGTAGTTTTGGGGAAAATTTTGCGTTAAGTTTGGTTGCTTGTATTCGGAGTTTCCTGAAAATTTCCGTCCTGTTCATTATAACAGTAGTTATTTTCGTCTAATTGATATATTTGATCGGAAAATTCTTGTGTATCATAATTTGTGTCGTAGGTGTATTGTTCTTCAAGGATGGGATATTCGTGATAATAAAAATCATAAGGATTTTCACTTTCAAAATTTGATATTTCGTTGTTTGAATTAGCTTGGGGGGTTGTGGATTGATTGTCAATCTCTTTTGCTAGATAGTAATTTTTATTTGGTTGAATTTGATTTATACGGGTATTGCCTGATGAAGTATCCATAGGTTCCGGTTTGTCAAATTTTGGGGTTGGATTTTGGTTATATTGATTAAACATCGGTCTTGTAATTGAATGCATAGGTCTTTGCATAAATGGGTAAGGTCTTGGATTAAATTGATGTCTTTGGATCATCGGGTTAATTCTTTGAATATTCGGGAAGTTTTGTCTTTGATTATTTTGGAAATTTGGTCTTGGAATATTCTGAAAATAAGGTCTTGTTTGGAAATTATTTTGAAATCTCGGGAGGTTAAAATTATTAAAACTTGGTCGAATTGTTGGCGGTTGAAATGGGCTAGTAAAATTTTGTGAAGCTAATGGGTAATTAATTGGGTATTGACCTAATAGAGTTTTTGGCTTATTTTGCATTGCAACAGGTGTAGTTTTGGTTGAAATATCAACACGATTTTTATAAGCGATAAAATTTTCTTCTTCTAACGAGAACGACATGGCTTCTTCGAGAGATTTTGGATTTCTTAAACGTACAACTAACTGCATATGGTAATTAAGACCGTTTATAAATGTTTTTAAAATTAGATCTTCAAATTGGATAATTTTTAGAGTTTTTATATTGATATCTTCGCATGTAGAGTTAATTTTTGAAAATAAAATACTGCGGGCATCTTGCAAGCGTAAACCAAAATTATGCGCACTTTCGCTACTATTGGGTTTCATTGAAATTATATCCTGTAAAAGACAATCAACTGATCTTTGATCGGAGAACGTTGCCAGAAGGGCTGTTTTAATTTTTAACCAACTATCGAGTTCAGAACGAGAAGCTATTAAATCAGCTGCTCTACCAATTAATTTACTAATTATTGTATCTATTAAACAAACATTTATTGATGCATTTGGGTTATTTACATTTTGATGATTAGTTAGAAAATTTTCGCAGATTCTAATAAAACGATTTATTTGTTTAGGATTGCCGTCGAAATGAGGGATGTTATCCGCTTGGTACCTAACTAATTGAAGATTCACCGTATCCGGCATTGTGTTTAAATTAATGTCAGAATCGGAATCGGAATCAGATGATGTATTAAAATTATCGACAGAAGCTACTCTAGGTTTTAACTCTAACGTTTCAAAACGAGAAATTAATCTTTCCAGTTTGAATCAGAAAAATATTTACAAAAGAAAAACTTACATTAACAGTGAGAGAACGACGATTTTCATTCCTGGTTGTTTCGTTTCTTAATCTAGTTTTCCAATAGGATGAGCGATGCTTGTCTCTTCCCTGGGCTACGTATGAAATTCGGACGATTTTTGTTCCTTATTTCGCACCAATAGGGTTGTGGACGATGCTTGTTCCTTCCCCTGGCCAATTGAGCACTTTGCACCCACTTGAACAGTTTTTTGTGTTGTTCGGATTTCGCGAATAAACTCTTGAGAGAGACCAAACAGTGTCGATTTTGGAATGCTTGTTTCACGGAAATCCTACCGACTGCGCCAGTTTTCGTCGTGGAAAACGAATTTGATTTTTTAAAAAACTTTATTCAAGCGAGATGACAAAAAAGCTAGCGACGTGGTTCGCACCGTGGTTTTATACAGACAAATTGCTGACGCTTTGAGAAACAAGTAATATAATATGTATGGGAACCTTTACTCAGCAGTTTACAGTATTAAAGCGTTTATAACTCGATCTTGGAAAAATGTTATTTTTGTAGTACTGGAGGTGACGTCTGGCGAGCACGGGGATTCGATAGAACTGCTGTCAAAAGCCGCGTCGGATCCCAAGTGGAGATCGAATATTCTATCGGAAGAAAGTAACGCGTTTTTTATCTAGAAAATAATGATAAATTCTGGACGATTTTTTTTTGCAGTCCAGCTGACCGAAAAGGAAATGGAGGTCATCGCCACCCCCACGGGCGTCGTTTACTACGAAGACGATGTATCGTACCAGAGCCCATCCGAACTGACCAGGTTCTTCATATTGCTCAGGAAACAGATGGTGTATTTGAATCGGGATTGGGTACGTCTATCAGCTTCTATTAATGATAAGTAAAAGTAAATAGCAATATTAGGTAAAAAATTATATTCGACTGTCTGAAATGGCCGTCAGCTCGGCGTAATTGTGAAAATTAGAAAACTTTCTAACCTCAACCACCGTTGAAGCTGCGATAAATTCAAATCCTTTTTGTTTAAATATATCTCTAAAAGGCCAAGAGATATTTTGATACACTCCGTGTCGTTTCAACTAGGTGGGGTTTTCTGACATAATTTGGAAAAAAAGTTATTTTTCACAAGTCAGTGAAAACCGCGTGTTCATATCTTTCTCCCAACCTTGCTTCTTCTTCTTCAAATGCGATTTGATAAAGACACGATGTTATCGAAACAATTGCCATGTGAAAATATGTAATTTCGCGAAAATCTGAACTTTTAGTTCTTATTTATTTAGCCAGTATACCTTTCATCCCGCTTCCGAATTATAAAGTTTACTATGTTTTTATTGGCCTCCTGTGAGGATCTACCTCCAACGAGTTATTGAACTTACTAAGAAACGTGCGCCTAGTTTAATACACTACAAACCAGCAACTAGTAGAGTTCAATTATAAAGTTTAGAATGTGACAGTTTTTAATCGGGCTGCACTTTTTGAACGGCGACGGACGGAGCGGCAAATATCTGAATGTTTTAATTGTTATTTTCAGACCGTGTCGAAGCTAAAGATCCTTCTCCACTTTCTTGTAGGGATATTCTTGGGACTGAATTTTCAAAAGTGCGGTTACGACGCGTCAAAAGTCATAACGAACGTGTCTTTTTTTATGTGCAGCGTGGTCTACGTCAGCTATACGGCGCTGATGCCCTCAGTTCTCAGATGTAAGTTTGAAAACGTATTTAGCTATTTAGCCAGCCTGTTCTCTATCCGCGCTGTCAGAGGGCGCTCTTACCGATAATAAATTTTTTATTTTCGAAGTAAATCAAAGTCCGGAGTTTACTATATTGTTCTGCCACGCCCCTTTCAGACCCTTCCGAGTTGTCCCTAATCAAAAAAGAGCATTTCAATCGTTGGTACAAGCTCAAAACTTATTACATCGCCCATATGGTCACCGATATTCCGATGCAGGTGAGTCTCGGGCCATTTGTAAAATGGCGGGTGTTCTAAATTTTCCCGATTTTAGATTTTGTTCGCGCTGATATACCAATCGATGTCCTACGTCATCAGCTCACAGCCTCTGGAAATTTCTAGGTTTCTCATGGTGTTTGTGATGCTCTCGATGGTCGGGGTTATTTCGTCGGCCATGGGGCTGATGTTTGGGACGCTCGTGAATCCGATCGTAAGTGAACGTTAACACTGTTGCAAAAATTGTGGATTATAAACCATAAATTTAGATTCAAGAGAAAAAAAAGCGAATCAATTTGTTCTCAAAAACAAATACCACAAACATAACGACAAAAATTGATGAATAAGTAATAGAAATTCAAACGATTATGGAGACATTTTCGTTGTTATATTAAAAAAACTAAAATGTTTCGGTGCGGATGTTGCCAACCTTAACGTCGTTCATTTCTAAAGCTTCCGCCACTAAGTAGTTGACACAACGTTAGTAGTGAGTTTGGTATTGACGTTACAGCTGATCCTAATCGTTTAGAATAAATGACGCCATCTTTTGACATAAATCTTCGTACAACTTTACTTTCGAACCTAATACCTACTTAATGGGCTTAATATTTTAAACAAATTCGATTTTACAGAGCTAATTATGAACCTAAAATCGTAAAATATGATGGACTGGCTCTTTTGCCTCTTCTCTATTGAAGGTAGGTGTATTATTATATTATATTAATTACTAGTAATTTATAAAATGTTTCAAAATTTTTCACCAAGTTCGAAATTGTGATTTGTTTCTCAAAAAATTTTTCCGGTTTCTTCTGACTTATGACAGAAATTCGGACTGGTTTTTTACAAATTCTGAATTATTTCTCCGACTTAGATCTGAAACTTGATGAAAATCCATTTAACAAAATAAATAAGAGCTAAAAGTTCAGATTTTCACGAAATTATATATTTTCACATGACAATTGTTTCAACAACACCGTGTCCTTATCAAATATGTTGTCGAAACAATTTTCTTTTATTTTAATAAATTCTTGTTTCTCAGAAATTGTTACTCGTTTCTCAAAAATCCGCAAAGGTTTCTCAGAAATTCTGACTTGTTTCTCAACAATTCCGTCAGGCTTCTCAGGAATTCTGACTTATGCCAGAAATTCTATATTGTTTTTTAGAAATGCTGAATTATTTCTCAGAAATTCGGACTTGTTTCTCAAAAATTCTGACGTGTTTCTCAAGAATTCTGACATGCATCTGACGTATTACTGAAATTCTGATTTAAGTAACAAAGTCTGACTTTATTCTCAGAAATTCTGATTTGTTTTTCAGAAATTCTGACTTATTTCTCAAAAATTCTGACTTATTTCTCAAAAATTTTGCCTATTTTCTGCTTCTGGGAAGAGAATTAGTATCTTACTGATACTGTCACTGTGATTACTAAATGACTGAACTTGTCTTATTCAACTGTATTACAGGATAGCTTACGATTCTTATTTTGACAGAGCGTCGCAACAATAGTAAATCTGCCACCCTTTCTGTGCTCGATTTTAGGACCTCTCTTCTTTTCAATATACATCTCCCAAGTTTATTCTGTTTTGAAATATTTATTCAATTCTGTATTCAATATATCTTCAATAAGTCAGAGACCAAATTATTTGGAACACATACTTTATCAATAATTATCTAAACTTAACAAAACTGAAAATCTGGAGGTATGGATGGATACTAATCTACGATTCACAAAAACATGTCAATTGACTCAATTGATACTTTGATGGATTACTTAAGAATCTCCAAATCGTGGAATAACGGGTTCCAACCTTAAATTATCTCTGTGTGAGTCATTAATCATGTCCAAAAACATTTGTTTAAAAATCTTATGCAGCTAAACGGTACTAATACAGGCAAAAAAAACGGTAAAATCTTCCGTTGACACTTACTGAGCTCCAAATACAGATTACCATACAAACTGTAGAGAACTTCTTTTTTACTTGTACCCATTCGGCAAAAACCCGAAACTCGACGCCGTCTTTGCACCGTTGTCCTTGCAGAATGGCACTTTCTTCGCCGCCGTCACCACCGCCCTCATGTTCAGCTTCGCCGGATTCCTGTGTCTGATCCCGCACATGTCCAAGGCCATGTATTTCCTCACCAATTTCTCTTACATGAGCTACTGCATGGATGGACTGATGCAGGCGGCCTACGGCCATAACAGGTCCGCCCTCATTTGTCCCGAAGAGGAAGAAATTTGCTTGTACACCGTGCCGTCCGATATACTAAACGAAATTGGAATGGACAAACTGCCGTTTTGGGCCAACGTCGGTTACATGGTCTTGAACGCCGCCCTCTTCAGGTTTTTGGCGTATTGCAGCCTGAGGCGAAAGATCAAAAGCAGTTGTTAGAAACGAAGAAAAAAACAAGCCTCGTTATTAAGTTCGAGGCGAGGCGTTAAACGTTTGAGAGCGATCCGATGTTGCCGGTCAGTATTTTGTCGGATACTTACCAACAAACGAAACAAATAGAATCCGCTGGATCGCTGTCAAACGTCAAACGCCTTTCGGATAACTCTCTAGGTACTTATTAAAATCGTATTGTGATATTTAAGGATAATTAATTGTGTTATATTTATTTCGCCCCTTGGGAAACATTTTCGCCGATTATCTGTAAAATATTCGGAGCGTAAGTTTTCAAGTAAAATAAAGTAGAGTGGTTAAGAAACGTTGGTCTTAATTTCCTCCAAGAAGACTCGAGTCCGGTGTTGCCAAGGTGTAACGTCACTTGTTTCTCATCGACTCGACAACAGAAATTGACTAAACACTTTTGTATAGAAATAGTAAAGTTTGGTTAGTTTTGAATATGTCACTTATTATGGGCGAGTGTCCCGCGTAGACTTGCCCACTAAAATCCAAGAAAAGAATAATGATACAATGACATTATTGCTATAGTGAAAACCTCAGTAATTATGACAAATTGATTTCCAATTCTGAATTCTAAAAAACTGAGAAGTTTTTAAAAATTTTGACTTTGGGAAAATTCTGACATCTGACTTGTGTCTTAAAATTTCTGACTTGTTTATTAAAAATTCGAGAAAAAATAATATGTGCCCAAATGAGTGACTGCTTATTCAAGAACAAGATTATTCCAGTTTTCGTAAGTCTTTTGGAACTGTCACTGTCCATATTAAAACAAGGATAAATGACCTATCTTGTCTTATTCTGTAGAATTACTGCATAGTTTTTAATACAACAACTCTTACTTTATAGAAAAACAGAAAAAAAATCTAGTTATTATGGACGAGTGTCCAATTTGCCGACTAAAATAAAAAAGAAGAATACTGACACTATGATTTTGCTACAGTCAAAATCGTTCTTCCTTCACGTTTGTATTAGTTTTATCTTGTTTATTTTTACGTTGGTTTTAATTTAGCCCGCAATTTTAAGAGCTGAGCCCGTATAGTTTCACGTTTGACTTGAGCCATTGTTGCCAAGTTGGAACATCACTTCCCTCGCGTCGACCCAACTCGACAACGGACTACCTAAACTACTCGCTATATTTCGACACGAAAGGTTAGTTTGAAAAGGTTTTTGATGGAATGCGGTAAATGTTTGACGACGATCCACCATTGTTAAATATTTTTGGCTAGTAATGAGTATTTCGTTAATTCAGTTTTCATGGACGAGTATTTAAAGACAACTGGCCCGATAACGTCAAAGAAAGAAGAAGAATCGTGTTATTCTGTTGAAAACCCAATTTTTATAAATTTGAAAAAACTCTAAAGAAACATAGCGCTTTCGATGTGCGAATGTTATGTCGCCGCTATAAAAAGGACTATAACCGAACCAAATGTGAACAGCAGGGGCGGGTTCAATTTTTAAATAAATCCACTGTTTTATGCGAAACGTGGATACGTTACAATGGAAATGGACATAATATTAGTAAGCATTTCGAATAAAAATGACACCCATTTGCAATGACGTCGCTTATTTATCTAGTCAACGAAATTAAAAGTCTGAACGGCAACGTCGGGCCACAGTCGAAAATTTAGAGCTTTCTAAAAATTCGAGTGCCTTAGATAAGATCGCCTGGAAGATTGATTGTTGGGTTATGTGTGCGTTTTCAATTTTACGGTAGAAAGAATTGAAATTTCCGTCACCAGAGAAATGGGCGACTCTATTGAAAATGGTGCTGTTGAAAATCAACTATTAGAATTAGCCAAGTCTAAACCGGAAGGAGTATCTAATAAAGACCTTAAGGACCACCTGCCAGACGTACCGCTTGCGGACATTACCCGAATCATTAACAAGTGTTTAAGGAGCGGCATCTTAGAGCTCTTTCAAACCAAGGACAGTCTGTTGTACAAATACAAAGACCCTTCCCAAAAGGTCGCGTCGAAGGGCGCCGATAGCGAAGAGAAGGTCGTGTACAAGATAATCGAGGAAGCCGGTAATAAGGGAATATGGATAAGGGATATCCGATTTAAGTCGAACTTAAATATGACGCAGCTCAATAAAGTGCTTAAAAGCTTGGAGACCAAGAAGTTTATTAAGGCGGTAAAGTCAGTCTCGGCCAGCAAAAAGAAAGTGTATATGCTTTACGAACTGGAGCCGGACAGCTCGGTCACGGGAGGTGCGTGGTACCAAGACCAAGATTTCGAATCGGAGTTTGTCGACGTGCTTAATCAACAATGTCACCGATATCTGGTACAAAAATTCGAAGACGCTTTGACGCAGGGCGGAGGCCCGCTCCTTATCAGGAATCGTAGTTACGCGACCGCGGGAGACGTGCATCAATTCATTTCCGATTTGGGGATAAGTAAAGTGTCCCTGAGCATTACCGACATCGAAAGTATCCTTTACACGGTCGTATTAGACAACAATGCGGAAAGGATCGTCGCTCCCAATGGCTCGTTCGTTTACAAGGCCGTGAATCGATTTTTGCCCCCGCAAGGAATAGTGAAAACAACTTGCGGCGTGTGTTTGATTGCCAATCGTTGCGCCAGCACTGGATTAATTAATCCCAAGGTGTGCACGTACCTTACAGATTGGTTAAACGAATAGTTGTGTTTTAATAATTAGTTTCCCTCGTTAATAAATGTATGTTCCAAATATAAAAACGCTTCCAGTTTCTCAATGCCTACACCGACACCAACGGATTTTCTTTGGTTTCAAATAAGTCCCCTAGAGCCATGCCTAAAAACGTCAACACCCTTGAACCCAAATTGGTGAGTTGAAGTTCCATTATCTAATTTTGAAATATATTTCAATGTCACTGTTAATTAAAATCAAACTACCCGTCCGTTGAACTAATTTTAATGATAAAAGAAATATTTAATCAATGCAATTTTGGAAAGCGCAGATTTTAGTGACGGGTTGAAAGTTGGCAACGGTCTTTGGTCTGTGGCGCGGCACTACATAACCTATTTCAACTAAAATTTAGGAACTTATTTAGGCGGATTGCAGTTGATTTCAGTTATTATTTGGACGGCTATATTATTTTCGCCAAACGAAAGTTGCCTAGACGGAAAGTTACAATTAGAATGGCAGACGCGCGCAATAATAAACGAATGTTAAGGATTCGTGACAATGTGACATTATTATGAAGCGATTGCTGTAATTCGTGTCTTCCGATTGCGGCGACATGTTTCGTGCGAAATACTTGTCCAAAGCGACGTGCTTGCTCCCCACTCGTTCCGCGTTTACGAGTGGTTTCGTCAATGGTCCGCCGCAAAGTGAGTTTTTTTCAATGTATCGCTCAATTTCATTGTGTGCTTTAAGGGCGGTGTCCTAGCATCTCATCGAAAAAATTTTACTGCAGTAAAGATGAAATCAAGAAGGTGAGCAGCGACACTCTTCGTTTGAAAGACTGCAAGCCTGTGGACATTAATCCTTCTGAACCGAAAAAGGTAGCTTGTCTCTTATAGGAACTTGCGCGTTTAATTTCGCTCTCTTCCAGAGAATTCCGTCGATACAAGAGTGCCGAAACGATTTGGGGGGATTGTCGCAGCCGGATGGATCTTCCGATGGAAACAATCGCAACGAAAAAGGGCGAAGTAAAATTATAATCGGACTTATTGTCGCGGCCGTTGCCGCCGGAGCCGTGAGTGAGTTTAATTGTCACGTTGGATCGCGCGTATTTTCGGTTTTCAGCTCTATTTCGTGGTACTGGGACGCGACAAAGTGCAGGAACCCGCGGCGAAACAGAAAAAGTCGAAATCTGTCAAAAGTACGGTTACGGTTGAACTGTTTCGAGGTTTGTTGATCTTGGCGAATGTTTTTAGAAGCCATTATAGAAGTGAGGGATCCGAAAGAATCGAAGGACATTCCCAAAGCGGTTCCGTACCTGTTGATCGGTGGAGGCACCGCCTCGTTCACCGCGTTCAGAGCTATCAAATCGAGCGAGCCCACCGCCAAGGTAATTTCCCATTCGCGCTTATTTCCTATTGCCTTTTGTCATGCAGGTGTTGATGATATCCAACGAATCTTTCTATCCGTACATGAGGCCGCCCCTTTCGAAGGAAATCTGGTTCAACGAGGACGAGGGCTCGGTGAAAAATTTAATGTTTAGGCAGTGGAACGGTTCAGAGAGAAGGTAGCGAATAGTCCGTTATAATTGACGTCCGATTAAAAAGTTGTTTAAATATGTTCAGCTTGTTTTACGAGCCGGAAGATTTTTACACAAACTGCAAAGACCTGATGCAGAGCGAGAACGGGGGCGTAGCAGTAGCCCGCGGGTGGACCGTCACCCGTATCGATGTGATGGAAAAAGTCGCCTACTTGGACGACGGGACCGCCATTCAGTATGACAAATGCCTTATCGCAACAGGTGACATGATTTTTTTTTTCACTGGCTACTGTAATTAATCCTCCGATTCATAACATTCTAACGGCACTTCTATTGTTCTTTTCTTCTTCTTCTTCTTTTTTCTGCTGGGTACACAGGTACGTTGTTGTTGCTAAATCGCTCGCCGCTGGTTCTTTGAACTTCTCAAATGATGTTCCTTATAACACAGTTTTCCGATCCGAATCGATTATTAAAATTATAGGGATATCAACTGCAAAACATTTGCGTATTCTTGTTTTTTTTTTTACACAAGATTTTGTATAAAGGTTGTAAAAAGGTCGGACTGCTTTGTGCTAATTGTCAAGATTCAATCGATATTAGACGAGGATAATTACGATATCGGTGATGGGACATATGATGCGTTACTTTTGGGACAACATATATGTATGCAGCAGCAAAAAAAGGAGAAAAACAAGAATAATAAAAGAAGAAGTTAAACAGGAAGAAGAAAAAGAATAAAACTGGATTGTTATGAATGCTAAATTATTTTTTCATTTACAAATTGCATGATTTACACAGGAAGTGTATAAAATAATTTTTTCAATTCTTTGAGTCGCCATATCAGGGAGACGGCAATACTAATGGAAAAAAGTGCGGGACCATTTGTGTCCGGGTATATATTTAAATATTTGTTTCAAAGTATTTTTTAAAAAATGAGTTGAATTTAAAAACCGCGTTCGCATGGATCTCAGAAAAAAAATCACTTCCCGAAAACGGTATAAGCCGCTATAAACTTTTATTCCTGACAATTTTTGAAAATGTGCGGTATTCGCAAAAAAACTGAAAATGGGGTTCTCCTTTTAATGAAAATGTATCATAACTAGAAAACTGCGATTCAGAAAACAATTTGTTTTACACCAAAATATAGATCGACTTTTTTGCATTTAGCGTTTTTACCTATTCTACAGGATACATTTTTGATTTTTTTTTTGGGTTTTTTTGGTTTGGCAATCTTATTACTTTTGAAAAATCTCGATAACGGTGCATCCTACAGTCTAGCCGTTGGTACAGATGGAATCAGCATCGGGAAAAAAAACGTTTTTTTTTTTTGTTGGTCCGTTCTCTGTTCCAGGGTTTTTCGACGATAACTTCCGAACGGTGTGAGCTACACTCTTCAAATTTTGCTCCTTTTTATTCGTCCACGGGGTGCATAAGATACGTAAAAATGGCTGCGTTCAAGCCTCGGCGTCCATCTTTTTTTTTTTTGTCGATTTTCGACTGTTTTTTGGACGTTGCTATGAAACACGATAAGTGTCCCAAATTTGAAGCTGTCGGCTTAAAATTTGGCAGACGAATAGCGCCTGGTCCCCTAACGGAACCTATTGAAATTGGGGGGGTTGGTAGGGTCGGGAAGTATTTAAAAAAAATAAAAACCCCATTTGCAAAGATCCAAGAAAAATATCATTCTCGAAAACGGTTTACGCAACTAAAAATATTCTTGAATGTGAAGACGTATAAGATTCGGCTCCATAAAACTTTATACCTGAAAGTTTTGCAAAAATGTACAGGGTGCGCCGCAAATTCAAAAAAATTGAAAAATGGGACCTCCTATTATAACTGAAAGACTGTGCTTCGGATGTCAGTTATATATAGTGATATAGCCCGCATAAACAGCTAAAACTTTTATATTTAAGGTACAGCTATCGACTTCAGATTTGGCAGGCGGGTAAAAGTCCACACCCGCATTTCATTTGTTGAAAAAGGACTTACTCACATCTCGCAAAGAATTTAAAAAAAAAATGAAATTTTTTTTGGTATATTTTGACTTCCAGGAAAAAAATGTTTTCTCGAAAACTATTAACCCGATCGGCAAAATTTGTGAACCACGAAATGGGGGAGATTCGGGAGCATAACTTTTATTTCAGGCGTTTTTCCATTATACAGGGTTTTTCACTTAAAACTCCGCACGCCAATAAGTCCAAAACGAAAAGAAATATTTAATTTATGTAAAAAGTAGTCAAAGTGGGGGGTCAAGTAGATATTTCCTAAAGTTTAAAAAATTCGACGCCTGCAAAGAGCTGGGCGTCGCGACGCGTCGAAAAATTATTCGATTGTTCAAATACCTCGTTACTATTTGGGCATTATGTGCAGGCGCTCCATCCTGCTGTAGCCACATATTCATTCTAGTGTCAAGAGGCACTTCTTCTAATAGTTCCGGAAGTGTAGTTTGAAGAAATCTTAAATAGCGATCTGCATTTAAAGTTCCTTCGTAAAAGTAAGGTCCAATAAGGAATCCATTTAATATGCCGCACCAAACATTGATACTAAAAATTCGTCGGTTACCTCTTTCTGTAATCCAAAGAGGATGGTTTTCGGACCAAAAACGACAGTTGTGTCTATTAACGATTCCATTATTTTGAAATCGACTTTCGTCGCTCCATAAAATTTTCGAGAGAAAATTTGCATCTTGGCTATACAAATCGGACAATGTCGCTAAGAAATACATTCTTCTAGCATAATCGCCTGGTTCTAGTTTATGAACTAGTTTACTTTTGTACGGGTGCAAAGAGTTTCTATGTAGAATTCTCCACGAAGAACTTATGGTAACACCGGTATTTTCTTTTATATCTGATAGGGATATCTTGGGGTTATTATCAACCTGCTGAATTACAGCAGCAGTATTTTCATCATTTGTGGCCGTCCTGTTCCTATCTCTTTTAGGTTTTATGAAGCTGCCATATTCTCTTAAGTTTTTACATAAACTTGAAAAGGTTTTTGCATCGGGGACTCTTCTATGCGGATAACGCCCTGCGTAAACTCTTTTTGCTTCTCTACAATTGCATCTGCATTCTCCAAACACCAGTAACATGTCTACTTTTTCCTCAGTGCTAAATTGCACCATTTTCACATAATAATTCTTAGTTTTTTTTAACCGAACAAATTTGGATATTTCTTGTGACAAAATGTGACAATTTTTTGATACAGCAATAACAAGTTACGTTTGTAATTGCACTTAAAACAACTGCGATAACAATGGTTGCCATAGTAACTAACATTCATGGCATACTTGTAAAAATAATCGGTATAACTTAGAAACGGGTAAAGTAAATAAGTTTGAGTAAATAACAAAAAAGTTTTTAAATAATATGTACTTTTGTATGCGCGTATTTCCAAAGTCTCCGCAATCGAATAATTTTTCGACGCGTCGCGACGCCCAGCTCTTTGCGGGCGTCGAATTTTTTAAACTTTAGGAAATATCTACTTGACCCCACACTTTGACTACTTTTTACATAAATTAAATATTTCTTTTCGTTTTGGACTTATTGGCGTGCGGAGTTTTAAGTGAAAAACCCTGTATACAGGGTTTTTCAATTATATACAAAAATCTAAAGGAAACTGAAAATCGTTCTTTTCGCCATTAAATTATTAGCCGTAAATCAAAACTCGCGAAAAATATGGCCAATTGGTTTAAACAGTGTTATAGGCTTGAGAGCTACCATTTTTTTTTGCCCCGCCCATCGACGATTTTTCGAAATCAATCTCGTTAATAATATATTTCACGAGGTATGTAAATTTAGGGGCCACGCCGAGGCTGCCCCCCGTATTCCGGGTGGCCGTCACGGACGAAAACCTCAAAGATAGAGTGAAACTGTTCAGAAACATCCACGATTTTCAAGACGCTCACGAAGCGTTCGAAAAGGCGAAATCGATAGCGATCGTCGGGGGGGGATTCTTGGGCAGCGAGCTGGCCTGCGCCTTCGGCAGGAAAGGTAAGGTAAGCCAGCTTGTGAAAACCCCGCTGACCGTGCGTCCGTAGATAAACGAAAAGCGAAGGAAATCTACCAGATATTCAGGGAAAGCGGAAACATGGGCAAAATCCTACCGGAGTATCTCAGCGTGTGGACCACCGAGAAGGTTAGGGCGGAGGGGGTAAACGTAAGTCCTTTCTCTGAATAGAATTTTCCGTTTTTTTTTTTTTTATTTATTATTTTTTTAATGATATTTGTATGATAAATGTATGATTTGTGTGAAAGTGTCGTGTTGCTGAAAAGGAGAAAGTAATTTTCGACCAGACAATGTTTTTGTTTTTGGCCCAAAATGGTATAAAATTAATACATGTTTGATCCCTTTGATCCGTTACCTTCCACATATCTTTTAATTTCTTCTAGAAGTCCAAACCCGCATAATGCCTCAAAATATGTTAAAGCTATCGCCATTTGTGGCTTATGATTTGCGTCTTTGTAAATGAGACGGATGTGCCTGTATGGAAAAAGGTTTATTCACAGACAGAATTTTAAACAAAAAAGGCAATTCCCCGTTGAATCTTGTTAGAACTTCATCCCGTAAATACTCAAGATGCTTAGCTATTATTATTATTATTAGCCATTATTATGAAATTCCCGCGCTAATGAGATATTTTATATGGGATTTTTGTGCATATTTCAACTTTTCTAAGACAAATATATATTTTTAAACTTCAGTCGAAACTCTATATAGCGAAATTGAAAAATATCACAGTTAATAGTGACCATAAACCTCTCGTGTCAATTTTCAAAAAAGATTTATATATTATGTTCCGTGATAATATTAGTGGCGCCATCTCACAGTCTTACTGTAGATAAAAATAAACAATGGCGTCTTGGCTTGTAACCAGGAATTGTATTTTGCTATCGACTTTCGATTAAATGGAGTTTTCGCAGAGTGTGGCATTTTAGTTGTGTGAAATACACTTTATACGGAGTTCCTGAGCAATAAATTACAAGTCCGTTAAACATAACTAGCGGATTATACGTTTCAGGTCATTCCGAGCACCGAAATCGTGGGAATTCGGGACGTCAACGGCGCGGTTCAGCTGACTTTGAATAGCGGTAAAACGATCACGATCGATTTCGTTTTGGTCAGTTGTGGGGTGGAGCCAAACACCGAACTAGCGGAAATGTCCGATTTGGAAGTCGACCCGGAACTGGGCGGTTATCTGGTGAACACCGAATTGCAGGTGATCCGTTTTCTTTAGTCCTTCAATTTATTTCGTTCTTTCGAAAAAAAAAAAAAAAGTTTGTCCGTCTGTTCTCTGTATACCGAACTCATTTATGGCCATAAATTTCGAACGGATTAAAGTGGGGGGTTCAAATTTGGGTCCTTTTTTACCGTCCACGATTCACACAATACATGTAAAAATGACCATGATCGGACCTCGGCGTCCATTTTTTTTTGGATTTTCGGCTGTTTTTTAAACTTTGCTACTGAACACGGTAAGTGTCCGAAATTTGAATCTACCGCTTTGAGATTTTGCAAAAGTATAGAAACTAGGCTCGTGACGGAAGATATTGTAATTGAGAACGATCGCCGAATGGGAAGTATTTTTGAAAATTCCAAAAGCATTTTTTTTCAAAAACCAAATAAATCATGAACCACCGGGACGCGGAATATTGATGCACATAAAATTTTATTCTTAAGAATTTTTTGAAAATATACAGGGTGTGCCGGTGTTTCCAAATAACTGAAAATTGAAGTTAGTTTTGAAAGTAAAATGCGGTTTCTTCTACATGACACTCTAGTTCATAAAGAGACCTAAAGTGTTCTCATATTGCACAGGGCGTTCGATTTATGTCGTGTTATGCTGAAAAATGCTATTGGTTATCGAAATTTGCAGCTGTTGACTTCAAATTTGGCAGGGTGGTAGAGCAAGCCACCCCCGTATTTCAATTGTAAAAGCTAGGTGCAATGGCGGGCATAGGTTTTGGTGGTCTTAGAAACGACAAAAGGGGCATGTTTATCAAATAATGAAGTTATGAAGAAATTCTGATCAATATAATTGTCGTAAATAATGAGATGCCAAGGGATACCGACAACATCCACTTGAAGATTCATTGTTCTCTGTTCTCCGTAATGGGCTGGAATATTTCTTTTCTCTCGTCAGGCCCGAACCGATGTTTACGCGGCCGGAGATTGCGCCTGCTTCTACGATCCGAAACTCGGCCGTAGACGGATCGAACATCACGACCATTCGGTGGTTTCCGGCCGGCTGGCCGGCGAAAACATGGCGGGGGCGCGCAAACCGTACCACCACCAAAGCATGTTCTGGTCAGATCTGGGGCCGGACGTGGGCTACGAAGCGATCGGCGTAGTCGATTCGTCTCTGCCTACGGTGGGGGTCTTCGCTAAGGCGACCGAGGGGGATACCCCGCGGGCGGTCGTGACGGAATCGAACGAAGGCGACAGATCCAAAACGGAAAACGTGAGTGGCCTCCGAATTTACTTGGTTATTATATATTTCTACGTAAAAACTTATGGAAAAAAATGCAGAATTATATTACATTTTGGTACAAAAGTAAAAAGTAAAAGCCTATCTCACAAGAGATAAGAATTATAATAAATAATGTAAGATATGTTATGTTATAAAAATTATATCGTTATATATACAGGATGTTTCAATTTTCGTTAGACAGGTAATAACGTTTTTTAATCCCCACGTGTGTCGTAAGTTTTTTTTCTCAAATAAAAACATTCCATTTTTTTGTATTCTGGAATTTTGAAAAATTATGACTCCATATATACTTCGACCAGAAATATAGTGCTTTTCCAACCGATCCCGTCATTAACTTTGCCTACTGTTTATTACTCCAACGATTGCAACGATTTTTTTTACAGTTGACTTCGGAACTTTGGTCATGTCACCTGTTTTGTATTGCTGCTCCCACTTCCCCTTCCGAATTTCATATAAAATTGTAAACATTCAAAACAATTTGTTTGGCATGCGAAGACAAATGGATCCGTTTTTTTATTTGCTGAGGTGGTTCATCTTCTAAATTAGGTTCGACTAGCATCTCTATTTCGTCTTCTTCTAACTAGGGAACATCCGCTTCATTCCACATTTTAAAGCGTTAAAAAACAGGAAACTAGAAGATTCCAATAAATATTTATCTGTGTTCTTATGACGTAACTATGTCGAAAACAAAAATACAAGAAGAAGAATGTTGTTAATCGAGAGGCACACAAGACAAAAATGATTATTTTGAAACTTACCTGTAAGATAAATAGGGTACAGGTACTTATCCTTACCCTTTGAACTATCCAGTGAAAACAACCTCGCAAGGTCAAAGCTCGAGAACCGGGTACATAAATACGTACTTACTAGAATATATACATATTGCAATTTAGATTACACTTTTAAGAACGAAACGAAACGAACGAAATGGACGCTTCTACTTATTCGAAAACACCCTGCAGTATCAATGCTTAACCAAATTTAAAACGGACCATAAAATACTGTCAAATACTTAAAACGTCAAAACAATAAATGCACTATATTTTTGGTCGTATTATAACTGTCTACAACAAACAGTGCTAAACTATTTTTAGTATTTTCGAACGATCGTTTAATGTTGTTTTATTTACTATATAGACGTATAGAATAGGCGATAATTATTTGGCGTTTTTACTAAAAAAAGTGCCGTTTAACATTTTTTAAAATTTTAATATTATTTTTTCTTCAAAAAAAAAATAGCGCGTCTCAAAGTCTTCGCTTTTGACGGAGCCTCTCTTAAAGAGTAATTATTACTGAGTAGTTCAATGTGATGAGAAGGAGCTGAAAAGCAAGCTGGAAGGAATGAAACAGAAATATTTATCAGCCTTGTCGCCGTCGATAGAGTTATTATTTGCAAAATGAGATTTAGAGACCCCCAAACTGTCAGAAAAAGCGGAGTATCTAGAACGAGTAGTTCGTAATGAAAAATATAACATCCCACAATTCACACCCGAAAGAAAAATCTAGACTATAAACGCCGCAATACCTATGCAGTAGAGTACATTTTATACATTGAAGGTTTTACTTAGTAATTAATCTCGAGTAGATTTTCGATAAAAAGGTACTTTTTTTAGACAATTTTAATGTACGTAATGTTTTTAAAACGCCTTAAATGCGTCAAAAACCCAAGACGATATACTTTGGGACAGACATACATGCCTTGCAGTCTCGCAAGTCGCGCGTTTCTTTATTAGCGAGGCTACTTTTACGTTCTCTTCCAGCTGCCTCAGGAGTGCGAAAAGTTCCTTTCGGACGAGGAGAAAGAAAAACTGAAGGAAACCCAAAAAAGTTTGGCGCCCAAAAAGAACGAAGGCGAAGATTTCGGAAAAGGCGTGGTGTTCTACTTGCGGGACGACGTCGTCGTCGGCATCGTGTTGTGGAACGTGTTCAACCGGATGTCCATAGCGAGGCAGGTGCTCAAAGATCAGAGGAAATACGACGACCTCAACGAGGTCGCCAAACTGTTCAACATTCACGAAAATGAAAATAATCCGGATTGAGTGATATTTGGTGCCGTAAAAACGAGACTCGTTTACCGTTAGGATTTATATCTTCTTGCATTTTCACGTTTGTATCGGTTTTTGTACATATAACTCTAATAAAAGCCCGTCTTGAAAGATATCTATTTTTTCCCCTTTACAAATCTGCTGGACTCTGAAACTTCTTGGCAAAACACCTCACATTTCACTTGAACAATCATTGGATCTACTCTACGGTCTGAAGGGGGCGGAGCTATACTAGGGCATGAACGTTATCTCAGACGATTGACTGATTGAGTTGAAAGGTTAAGATTCACTTTTAATTTCACCTTTCACCAATATAATCAGTCATCTGAGAAAATGTCGACCTGTCTAGTTTAGATCCGCCTCTTTCAGACCGTCCGTAAACACGTACAGATTTGAATGCGATCCAGTTTCAGTTAACAAAATTTCAATTTTTTTTTAAAATCCAACATACTACTAACGTCCTCATTCCTTATAACCTTAGTATCTACGAAAGGCACCGCACCATCTCAGTCTCCACTGTGGTTGAAGGAAGCTAGTTGACAGATGACATAGAACACAAAATTTCCTTTTTGGTGACAAAATATGATGTTTGAAAAATTTGTTTACAAAGGTGTCAATAATTATTGTATACGGGGGCGGAGCTTTGTCTCGAATATCGTCGTCGGCCATATTCGTGAAGCGTTAAGGTTGTTTAGAGGCTCCCGATTCTCGGATTTTTCTTTGTTAAAAGACTTTCCGTTTCTCAATTGGCAAATCTGGTGTTGACATTGTATTTGTTAAACTCGTGGTCAGTAATGTTTTCAGTGTAAGGAAGGAAGGTCTGGTTCTCTATTAATAAAGATATCTAAGGATGAGGTCCAACTCAATGGTTGTACATATTAAACATTTTACATTTATAGATGGGAGATATAGAGAAAAGACGAAAGAATGGTTTGTGTATCTTAGTACTTTAGTACAGTGGGGAGTGACAGAGAAGAGCCATATGACGCAATACCTTTCTTAGTCTAGGTTAGTTTTTCAAATCTTTGAATATGCAGAATATGTAGAAGATGCACGCAGACTTTTAGCTTCAAGAAGCAGACGACGTTTTGATAAGGTGGGATATTTTAAGTAAATCAACGTAACAAAAAAGTCAACGTAGAGAATAATCTTACCAGTTTCATCTAACTTTCTTTAAAGTTCTTCACGCTAGTGTACCATTTCTTACGAATCTTCTGGATTTCGGTTGATTTCGAGTGGAAGAAAAATAGGTCAAAGAAATGAAACAAGCAGTTCTGGAACTAGAATAAATGCTTTATCGACTAAACTCCACAACTATTAGGTAACAGTCTAACACAATAAAAAAGCAACTTAACAAAATATTAATCACATTCAGGTCGCACGGACTGCGAAAATTGCGCAACGAACCTTTCGGTAATAATTAAAAAAAATGGGGCCGAACCATCACAACAAAAAATTCGTTCGTATTCTCTGCACGCGATCACAGCCCATAAAAACATAAGACAAACTCGCATCGTGGCAACGAAATAAAGCTGTTTGGACATAAAAAGTTGCAAGTAAAGTAACCGAATATTTTGATGTGTATAGTACCAGATATATTTATTTTAATGTCTGACTTAACATTTATCTAGGGGGTGGTAAATTTTCTTATTTATACAGGGTGGTCCGAATTATAATGGAGAAACTTTTATGGCGTATTCAGTAGACTAAAATAAGTAAATAAGTTACGGCTCAAAAAGTTTATTTTTTTTTAACGTTTTGGAAATTATACAATAGAAAAAAATGAATATCAAATATGATTCATTTCGGAGATACGTGAATATGAATTATTGTGAAAAAACTGATTCAACAAAGACACGCTTATCTATGCTATAACCAAGTCTGAAAGCAAAATCTAGAAGAATTTTTATTTACAAATATGAACCAGCACTTTTTTTGGCAACATTTCAACAGAATCTTGAAGAGACTAAAAAATGTTTTAAATATAAAAAGTGTAATGTTTTTTTAACCATTTGGCAATTGTAGAATAGAAAAAACTGAATACGAAATATATCAAAATGCCTCATTTCGAAATGGGTATAGAAATATTGCGAAGAAATCGTTTCATCAACTGGTTCAACAAGGACCAAGTCTATCTACGCTATAAATTTCAATTTATGTGAAAATAATACCCACCAAGTCCGAAAGCAAATTCTACAAGAATTTTTATTTAAAAATAGCAACCATGGCAACATTTCAACAGAATCTGGAAGAGACAGAATTTTTTTTAAAATATAAAACGTGTAAGGTTTTTTTTAACTATTTGGCAATTATAGAATCGAAAAAACTGAATACGAAATATATCAAAATGCCTTATTTCGAGATGGGTGCAGAAAAATCGTTTCATCAACTGATTCAACAAAGACAAGTCGTCTATCTATGCTATAGATTTGAATGTCTGAAGGCAAAATCTAGAATTTTTTTTGTTAAAAATGGGAACCAACATTTTTTTTCGCAACATTTCAACAGAATCTTGAAGAGATACAATTTTTTTTTAAATATATAACGTGTAAGGTTTTTTTTTAACCATACCACCATGTAGAAAAAATCGTGTCAACGGGTTCAACCAAAGACATCTATGCTATAAATTTGATTTTAAATGGCAATAATATCCAGAATACCAAGTTTTAAACCGAATCTACAAAAGATTTTCTAAAAATAGGAAACAACACTTTTTTCGCAATATTTCAATAGCATCTTGAAGAATAAAACTTTAAATAAAAACATGTAATATTTTTTTAACCTTAATCATAGAATAGAAAGAAATATGTCGCTTCTAGGTGGGAACAAAATTTTGAATAAGAAAGTATAAGTTTTTTTTGTTCATAATATGAAAATATAAATTATATTTAACACAATTCCATTTTAATAGATTTCCAATTCATCTTTGCATTTAAGTTTTTTTTTAAATTTAATTTATCATTAACATTTATAAATAATACACATTTTGTATGCATGTACTAGATATAATGTATGGAAAGAGTAAATGCGAAGCTGGCGAAAAACTGGCACTATAACATATTAAAATTTCGGTAAATTAAAAAAAAATGGTCCGTTCATTATTTTGTTTTGCAATAGTCGATAATGGAGAGATGATGGTTCGAGGTCAACGTTTCGGAATAATTGAAAATCCTCAGGGCGACGATGCTATTTTATAGTCCGTGGGCATCGCAGAATTAGCACTAACGAAAACGATTTCCTAAGATATTTTCTATCACAATTCTTCCTGTAAGGCAGGATATTGAAAACGAGGGCGTGTGTTATAGTAACATTTAAACGAATCGCCGTTTCGGCGACGTTGCCAGCCGGCTGTCGCACAAAAAAAAATCCGAAAAATAAATCAATAAAATCATTCATATGATTTTTTAAAAAGTTTTTCTATTGTTTGCACTTGAATGCTGTTTTTAAAATTATCTCTTTTGACGATATAATAATATTCGACGATATAGGGCACGAATTTCATCCACTTTTACTTTTCGTTGCACGAGAAACCTCGCGCACTAAAGAATTTCACTTCAACATTCATTGCCTCTACTTGCACCTGCTTATATACGGTCCGAGAGGGCGGAGCTAAAGGAGGGGCACGAACGTCGTCGTCTCGGATGATCGATTGGGTGAATTGAGTGGTTAAGATTCACTTTTCATTCCAACTTTCACCAATATAATCAGTCATCCGAGACAATATTCACGTTCTTACTTTAGCTCCGCCCCCCTCAGACCGTATATAAGCAGGCGCAGTGTAGAACGCGAACCAGTTACAGGTAAGCTCTGAAAAAGCCTAGCACACAGCTTTGACAGACAAATCGACTGAAGAAGTGTAATTTAAGACTTCAATCCTCTGCCAAATGTTAAAAAACACCTTTCAATGTAATGCTTTTTATTGCTTCGACAATATTTTTGAGTGTTTTCTTCTAACTACAAAAATTCTTTAACCTGAAATCTTTCAGATTTACCGCAAGATACCTTTGAAGATTTGTAAATAGTATTTTCAAATTTCTTGTGGCATTTGAGATGTAAAAATGACCGATTTTTCAATAGTGAATCACTTTTAACTTTCTGTAACTGTGTTTTCCGCCATACGGCATAGCGCACACCCGGATCCGGTCGGGTCGTAAAAAAAAAAGGCAAGAGCCGGCTGACGGCGCGTCAAGCGTTAAAATTTACACGACATAACATCACATCTAGTATTCTGAATATACGACATTTATTTTTAACTTTAGCTTTAGTTATTTAATTCTCCTAGTCACTGTTTAGAACAGACCGTATCGGTGGACCTCTAAGAAGTGGAACTATTAGTTTGGGTGGCGCACCTAGAAGAATATTTCTTTGAAATTTTTAAATTGGGGTTCCCCGAACCCACAAAACATACAAAATGTTACGTAGAATTTTTCCATAAAAAAAAGAAGCTGAACAATAACCAATCATTCTTATGGCAGCAAGCCCTTTCCTTTTTTTATTCCTTCTGATGGGCCATCGAGTTAGGGGAACTCCGCGTATTTATAGTCATATATCAAATCAACATCGACACCGAAATATATATATATATATATATATATATATATATATATATATATATATATATATATATATATATATATATATATATATATATATATATATATATATATATATATATATATATATATATATATATATATATATATATATATATATATATATATATATAAATACCAGAATTTCTATAGTCTATGTCAGATCTTAGATGAAATGAAAAACACCGTATCGTTCGTTTTTTTTTTTTTGCTCGTCACCATCTCGCCGTTCTAGAAGAGAGAAAGATAGAGGATAACGCGAGCATTAAGAGACGCGTCCGCGAAAGGCCAACTATGAAGATTAAGGTAACAACTCATCCCTAGCCTTTTACCTATTCTAAGGGCTTGATCGGAATTCACAGAATCGCTTCGGGACAAACTAACCGGTTTCAACTGTCCAATTCGTCCGCGCTGTCCGACCGCTTCGGTCCGAACGTGTCGCCGTACAAAAACCTCTCTAGTCAGGCGAAAAACTCGCTCTTCGACGACATGTCGTATTCTATCTCCTCGTTCTTATACATGTCGATCATTTTCTGGATGTCGTGCGACAGCATCTCGAGCTGCTTATCGTGCGTCATTTGAAGTTTCTCCTGTTCGCGTCTCTGCTTCACGAGCGCCACCTTACGTTCTTCCACGAACTTTTTCGTGTTGTTCTGTTGCTTTTCGCGCAGGCGCCGCTCCTTGTCCTTTTTCGTTTTCAACGTCTTATCGTTGGCGATCTACGACGTAAATGGAAAATGAAAGTGGACCAGTGGACGCGGACTTGCTGACGTTTTTTCCAAAACATTGATTAATTTTACGAATTTACTAATTTCAAGTACTGAATTTTCTGAGACTGAAAAATCAGCACGGACTTGCTGACGTTTTTTTGGAAGAACACACACACAGCTACACATCACACTTGGCCTAAAGCCTTTGAAGGATGACGATCACAGGAAAGACCACACACACAGAGACTTCAAAAACTCACAAAAAAGAAGTGGAAAAGTATAACTAGCTGGATGTGACGGACGAAATACGGACGAATATTCAACAGTAAAGAGATTTCCAGAAACGCCAAAGTGGGAGGTTACTGAAAATTGTTACTGAGCAGTATGGGAGTGAGTGGGAGTGGGAGAAGAACGAAAAGACCTCTGGAATGAACCTGAAACGGCGGGAATTGGAAAAATAGGGAGAGAAAGAAAGGCCAAAGACAAAATAGAAATCAGAGGGTAGAATTGGTGAGAGGACTTACTTCCTTGCTCGTTTCCACTGCCACTTTGGCCTGTTGACTTTTCATCTCTTTCATCTCCTGGTCGTGCTTCGCCTCCAGCTGCTTCATCTGCTGGCTCTGGAGCAGCTCCATGTGCTTCCTAAGAACGTCCCTCTGATCGTCGAGCTGGTTCCTCAAAAACTCCCATTCCTGTTTGCGGTGTCTCTCCATTAGGGAACTCCATTCGAGCGTCTGTTCCGTAACGAGCTTGCGGACAGTGGGATCATTCGCGAGGTCAGCTTTGCTACAAAACGCGAACTCTATCGTCGCAGACCTCGAATCGACAACACCACTCCTTACTTCTTTCCCTTGATGAGCTTGTCGATCGCGGAGCATTGCGCCTTCTGAACCGACATCTTTTCCTTGCTGTGCTTCTTTTTCAGCGCGTCGTACTCTTTCTGGTGCTTCTTCGTTGTCTTCTGGAAGCCCTTGTCCTGTTTTATGGACTCTATCGTGATCGGTTCGAAAATTATCGGCTCTGAAAAGGGGCGACGATGCATCTTTTTTTTTCGCTTCTTTCGCTTGCAAATATCGAAGGCAAGTGAGAAATTTGCTTTTGCCGTACGGGGTGTTCCGAAATTAAAGCGGCGAAATACGGAGTGTAGAAGTGCTAATCCTAATTTTATGTCGTAAAAATGTTCAAACTGAATGGAAATTTGAAATTTTTTTTTTTTTTGTTGATGATTTTATGTGATTCCGTATTGATTTAATACGATATTTTGATTTCCAATTTTCAAATGACTAAATAAACTTATCCATCAACTTGAGAAAGGATGTTTTACAAAACGTTTTTTAATCGAGACAAGTTTCGAAAATTTAAGAATTTCACCTTCACTATGTCCACGTCCTCCTCGTAAAAAAAAAATTGCAATTCTCTTCGTTAAATACCTGACAGAATTGAATTTTGTAAAAGTTAACTCCGTTTGTCATGAATTTTATAAGAGTTGACTCTGTTTGTCTTCAATTTTGTAAGAGTTCACGCTGTTTGTCTTCAATTTTGTAAGAGTTAAATCACTTTTGTAAGAGTTAACCCTGATAGTCTTCAGTTTTGTAAAAATTAACTCTGTTCTTTTTTTCAATTTGATAAGAGGTCACTCTGTTTGTCAATTTTGTATGAATTACCTCTGATTTTCTTCAATTTTGAACGAGTTAACTCCGTTTTTCCTCAAGTTTGCAATTCTCTTCGTTAAATGCCTGAGAGAATTTTTTTATAGTCCTCAGTTTTGTAAGAATTAACTCTTTTTTTTTTTTTCAATTTTGTAAAAATTCACTATGTTTGTCTTCAATTTCGTAATCCTCTTTGTTAAATATTTGAGAATTAACTCTGTGTTCCATTTTGTAGGAGTTCACTCTGTTTATCTTCAATTTTGTAAGAGTTAACTCACTTTTGTAAGAGTTAACCCTGATAGTCTTCAGTTTTGTAAAAATTAACTCTGTTGTTTTTTCCAATTTGATAAGAATTCACTCTGTTTGTCAATTTTGTATGAATTACCTCTGATTTTCTTCAATTTTGAACGAGTTAACTCCGTTTTTCCTCAAGTTTGCAATTCTCTTCGTTAAATGCCTGAGAGAATTTTTTTATAGTCCTCAGTTTTGTAAGAATTAACTCTTGTTTTTTTTTTTTCAATTTTGTAAAAATTCACTATGTTTGTCTTCAATTTAGTAATCCTCTTTGTTAAATATTTGAGAATTAACTCTGTGTTCCATTTTGTAGGAGTTCACTCTGTTTATCTTCAATTTTGTAAGAGTTAACTCACTTTTGTAAGAGTTAACCCTGATAGTCTTCAGTTTTGTAAAAATTAACTCTGTTGTTTTTTTCCAATTTGATAAGAATTCACTCTGTCAATTTTGTATGAATTACCTCTGAATTTCTTCAATTTTGAACGAGTTAACTCCGTTTTTTCTCAAGTTTGCAATTCTCTTCGTTAAATGCCTGAGAGAATTCAATTTTTTTATAGTCTTCAGTTTTGTAAGAATTTTTGTAAGAGTTAATTGTTTTTTTTATTTATTCAGTTTTGTAAGTCTATTCACGTCTTTTTCAATAAATGTATTAACTTTATCTGTTTGTCTTCAATTTTGTAAGATTTCACTCTGTTTGTCTTCAATTTTGTAACAATTAACTCAGTTTTTTTTTCAGTTTTGTAAGTTTGTCCACGTCTCGTTAAATGTATTATTAACTCTGTTAACCCTGTCTTCAGTTTTATAAGAGTTAACTCTCTTTGTTTTCAATTTTGTTAGTCTGTCGACGTCTGGTAAATATTTGAGATCCCCCTAGTTTTAAGATTTTTCAAAAATGTTTCTTCAAGACTGACCTGAGTTTTTATCCACCAACGTTGCCGGCGGTGGTTTTTCACAACCTTACGAGTTTTATCTGATTTCCTTTCAACTTATAAACTGTTAATTACGCCGCAGTAACTGAAAATGAAATTCTTTAATTTCGAAACGCGTCTCGATCAAAAACGGTTCACAAGTTGGCGGAGAAGACATAAACGTAATGCACTAACCGATTTTCTTCTCCTCTTTTTTCTCTTTCTTCTCCGCTTTTTGATCCGTTACCTGAAAAAAAAAACGAATAACGATTTTCTAATAACGATAAATTGTTTTAATCACTATCGCTCCAACCATTCATGTGAATCTGTCGTTGTTACTGTCTGTTATGATTTCTGGAGGGCCTTGGAGGATGGTAAATTTGTGTTGGCTGTATTTTTGGATTTTAAGCGTGCTTTCGAAACAATAAGTAGAAAGAGACTGTTAAGAAAATTGTACAAAATGGGTATCAAGAGAACAGCGTATTAACAGATAGGGTACAAAAAATGAAATATAAAAATTGCATATCTGATTGCATAATTGTAGATCATGGTGTTCCCCGGGGGACAGTTTTGGGACCATTGTTGTTTCTTATGTATATAAACGATATTGTAAATATATTTTTTTTTCAAAGAAACTTCCACAGGCTACTGTAATACTTTTACAAAACGTCTGGATTCTTCCTGCGTCGGTTTTTGCTGAGTCGACATTGCTGATGCTTCGCCAAACATCCTGTTGGCTTCTTCAGAGCTTCACTGAAACTGGCTCCTATTTTACTCTGTACCTGCTTATATATTGTTTGAAGGGGGCGGAGCTAAATGATGGTCATAAACACCGTCTCGGATGACTGATTCCGAAATTGGTGCCAGGTAGAGACCTGAATCGCGGTTAAGGTTGTCAAGGTGTCAAAAGGTGTCAAGAGCTTTCTTCTCATTTAGACTCAGCAAAAACCGACTCAGGAGGAATCCAGAAGTTTTGTAATAAGTATGACATTGTAAATATTTTAGATGATACTAAAAAAAAAACACCCACAAAAAAAGATTTTTATTGTGGGTGAAAATGTGGATGAAATGCAAAGAAAAATGAATGCTGATTTTGAAGAAGGCTTCTGAATGGCTATGCAATAATAACCTTTGTATAAACACCGACAAGTCAAAATTTTGTATTTTTGGTAAACGACATAAATTGAGTAAATTAAATTTTGATGTAAACATTTATATTAACAACAAAAAAATAATTTATGAAAACGAAATTAATTATCTGGGTGTTATATTTGTCTCAAATTTGACGTTTCATGCCGATTACACAATGAATAAATTTTCTAAAAAGATTAATTTTATATCTAGAATTAGAATTTTGTTCCACACTTTTGTTCAATATGCATAATTATAAATTAAAGTGTAACTGTGAGACTTTTAAGTCCAAATTCTGATTTCTACGTACTTAGCTTTTGATTTACGTTTATCTGGAATTTTATGTTTTATATTTAGAATTTATATCTTGTGTTTTTCATGTGCTAAATAAAGATTATATTATTATTATTACTATTCTGACACGTACTTCGATGCCCATCGAAGACATCTGCTCGTTCTGTTTCTGCTGCGCCCCCATGAACCCCCTCGGGTCGCTCAGCGCTGCCATGAAGTCCTCGAAACCGTCAGGCACGTAAATCTTCAGTTCGATGTTGCAGAACAGCATCGGCAACGACATCGGGAAATTCGCCTCGGTACGGAGCGAAATGTGCCTGTAGCCGGCCTGAGTACGCGGTAAAAACAATAGATATGATATACCGGAGGAGCGGCGAGCGGGGGGTCACCTGTAAACCGTCCAAGGGCAAAATTCTTTGGCCCAGCAGTTTGCCGTTCTCGTCGTATACGCCGAACCTCAGGACCGCGAGGTCCGGTAGTACCACCTTGCGGAACAGGAAAGGTTCCTCGTTATACACCGGGTTCAGACCGTTGGCAGGTACCAATCGCGTACGGAACTCCTTGCGGATCGTGTCCGTAGGAAGTCCGTACATGTCCACTTCCACGTAAGTTCCCACCTAAAAACGTTCGTAAACGCCACTGATTGCTTACTCACCCTCCCGATTTTAGAAGTTTTTTTTATTATTTAAAAAGCTTTTAGGTCGCTGCTGAGTCGGGGTTGTTGACGAATGAATGTAATATATATATATATATATATATATATATATATATATATATATATATATATATATATATATATATATATATATATATATATATATATATATATATATATATATATATATATATATATATATATATATATATATATATATATATATATTTAGCTTTTGGTTCTTGGGTTATAGGTCTTTGTATTAAAAGCGATTAAAATTTTTTTTGTCCATATATTGACGTTTCGGTCTTCTATGACCTTCTTCAGAAAGGGGTACAGTCTAAAATTATGTTATAGTACAGTTCTTTTTTTTTACATATACACAACGGAATTACAAAGAACCTTACCAAAAAGAGACAAACACAAATCTTAAAATTGAAGAGGTAGCATCATATGAAAGTTTATACTTTAAAAGCGTTTGGTTTTGTCATAGTGCCTAGAAATATTGTTGTTTTATTTCAGAATGTTGCAATATAACTTACTGAGATTGTTGGTGTCTGTTTTCGAATTTATAGAGTTCTTATTTTTTTGGATCTCAACCATTTCCAGAATTTCCCTTTTTTTTGTATTATTTTCGGTTTTTAGAATTTTTACTTTCGCAAAGTTGAAAGAATGCTTGGTTTCCGCGCAATGACTCTTCAGGGCAGTCGTATTTTTTTTGTCGTATTTGTGACCATTAATTCTGTTTTTAAGATACTGGCTTGTTTGACCGATGTACACACCCTCACAATCGTTGCAAGGTATCTCGTAAATGACGTGACTCTTCTTTTCGTCCGGTATCTTGTCTTTTAATTTACTGAAAATGTTTTTTACCAAATTGTATCCTTTGTGAGCAATAGTAATGTTGTGATTCATAAAAATTTTGCTAAAATTTTCGGACATACTGGGTATATAAGGACAAAAGATAAATTTCGCAAACGGTGGTTTTGAAGCGACAGTAATGTTCGGTTGTGTACTTTGGCGGCGTGACCTGTTCTGTGTGTGAAGATGTTGTCGATTTATTCGTGCAGACTGTTTTTCGAACGTGTATAGTGAATTACTGAAAAATAAGCCAGAATTTCTGGTAACAAAGATGGACTTTCCGAAAAACGTCATAATTGTCGGAAAATAAGTGACAATTTATGAAAAATAAATCAATATTCCTCTGACTTAAGTAAACCACATATTGGCATGTTCTTACGCCAACTGCATTTCCCCCTTTAAGAGTTCCTACATTCGTATTTGATGTTTAACTGTAGCCAAAGAGTTCATTAATATAAACTAAAAATAATAATGGACCCGTAATGGAACCCTGTGGAAGTCGGCGCATTATATTTCGTAAATTTGACATTTTATTACTGCAAAAAACCGCTTGCTTTCTATTGGTTAGCAGTTTTTCAAAGGCCTTGGAAAGGTTTAATGTGTTATGCTCACCGCCTTAAGGCCCTCAACTATGCCACCGACTCTATGTAATAGTGGTCGGGTGGTGGAACGTCCCTTTCTGACTCCAAACTGATTTGGACTTATCAAATTATACATATACAATTTCGGTAACGCTCCGAAGAAAACAACATTCATTCGTCAACAACCAACTCAGCAGCGACATAAAAGTTTTGTAAAAAAAAACTTCTAAAATCAGGAGGGTAAGTTTACAAACGTTTTTACGATACATAGTATGTTTACAGCACGTCTAAGTACCAAAAGAGAAAAAAAAATTATAACATATATATACATAAGATTAGATAAAGTCTACAATAGTAATAGGTATAACAACGCAATACATAACATATAAAAACAAACAGGAATAAAAATGAAAAGAAAAAGATGTGGGCACCATCAAGAATCGTGTAATCAGGTAATATCTTTTTTCCTCTGTATAACAACAATGCTACCAAAAAAAAAGATTTTATTTGGGCTTTTAATTTTTTAAATAGCAATCTTGATTTAGGATTAAGTTGTTTAAACTTAGGTCACGAGAATTTTTCATGCTTTTAGTGTATTTAAACTTCCTAGTTCGAAGCAAATTTGAGGGGGAAGTCGGCTATTTATCATTAACCTCAAGATTCTGATACAGCGGTTGACAAAGGCCTCCAAATCCTGCGTTGGATATAATTCCGATCGCTCTTTTGTGCATACGAAAAAATTTTCAGGGAATCTATTGAGTTTCCCCACAGTATAACAACGTACGACATAGCATAGCATTGTAGCTCGAGATTAGATAATCCTTTCCGATTAAATTGACACTTGAGAGGTGCTACACACTACCGAGTGAGTTTTATCCTCATTCAATTTTTGGCGATTCGCTGTAAACCACATATTGGCATGTTCTTTTTAGAGTTTTTACATTCGTGTTTGATGTCCATATGGCCAAGGAGATCATTAATATAAACTAAAAACAATAATGGACCCCGAAGGGAACCTTGCGGAACTCCTTACATTACATTTCATGAACGTGACATTTTACTGCTGCAAAAAACTGCTTGCCTCCTATTAGGGAGACAAGAGGACGATATCTCTAAAATTATACATATACATATATATATATATATATATATATATATATATATATATATATATATATATAAATTCGAAAACAGACACCAACAATCTCAGTAAGTTATATTGCAACATTCTGAAATAAAACAACAATGGAAGTAACAACATAGGGATATATTAATATAAAATTATAATATATAAAAATAATTTAAAATAAATAAAAGAAAAAAATTATAAATTAACAAAAACACTCTGTATATCCTCTGAACCTTGCACCAAAACAATCGTGCATCGTACGATGTTTTTACAGTAACGTCGACGCGAGCAAACCTCGCGTATCGGTATTATTATTATTATTATTATTATTTTAAACTCTTATATATATTTTAACTGTTTCGTTAAATTTGTGTGTATTATGTGTGTGAGTGCCGTATACAAATCATTTTTTGTTGGACTTTTATCTTTTATCAAGGGTATGACTTTTTTATTCTCATAGTTGGAAAAAACCAAAACAATAATATTTCTAGGCACTATGACAAAACCAAACGCTTTTAAAGTATAAACTTTCATATGATGCTACCTCTTCAATTTTAAGATTTGTGTTTGTCTCTTTTTGGTAAGGTTCTTTGTAATTCCGTTGTGTATATGTAAAAAAAAAGAACTGTACTATAACATAATTTTAGACTGTACCCCTTTCTGAAGAAGGTCATAGAAGACCGAAACGTCAATATATGGACAAAAAAAATTTTAATCGCTTTTAATACAAAGACCTATAACCCAAGAACCAAAAGCTAAACATAAATATAGAGAAGGTCTAAGAAAAAACAAAATATAAACAATATATATATATATATATATATATATATATATATATATATATATATATATATATATATATATATATATATATATATATATATATATATATATATATATATATATATATATATATATATATATATATATGTATATGTATAATTTTAGAGATATCGTCCTCTTGTCTCCCTAATAGGAGGCAAGCAGTTTTTTGCAGCAGTAAAATGTCACGTTCATGAAATGTAATGTAAGGAGTTCCGCAAGGTTCCCTTCGGGGTCCATTATTGTTTTTAGTTTATATTAATGATCTCCTTGGCCATATGGACATCAAACACGAATGTAAAAACTCTAAAAAGAACATGCCAATATGTGGTTTACAGCGAATCGCCAAAAATTGAATGAGGATAAAACTCACTCGGTAGTGTGTAGCACCTCTCAAGTGTCAATTTAATCGGAAAGGATTATCTAATCTCGAGCTACAATGCTATGCTATGTCGTACGTTGTTATACTGTGGGGAAACTCAATAGATTCCCTGAAAATTTTTTCGTATGCACAAAAGAGCGATCGGAATTATATCCAACGCAGGATTTGGAGGCCTTTGTCAACCGCTGTATCAGAATCTTGAGGTTAATGATAAATAGCCGACTTCCCCCTCAAATTTGCTTCGAACTAGGAAGTTTAAATACACTAAAAGCATGAAAAATTCTCGTGACCTAAGTTTAAACAACTTAATCCTAAATCAAGATTGCTATTTAAAAAAATTAAAAGCCCAAATAAAATCTTTTTTTTTGGTAGCATTGTTGTTATACAGAGGAAAAAAGATATTACCTGATTACACGATTCTTGATGGTGCCCACATCTTTTTCTTTTCATTTTTATTCCTGTTTGTTTTTATATGTTATGTATTGCGTTGTTATACCTATTACTATTGTAGACTTTATCTAATCTTATGTATATATATGTTATAATTTTTTTTTCTCTTTTGGTACTTAGACGTGCTGTAAACATACTATGTATCGTAAAAACGTTTGTAAACTTACCCTCCTGATTTTAGAAGTTTTTTTTTACAAAACTTTTATGTCGCTGCTGAGTTGGTTGTTGACGAATGAATGTTGTTTTCTTCGGAGCGTTACCGAAATTGTATATGTATAATTTGATAAGTCCAAATCAGTTTGGAGTCAGAAAGGGACGTTCCACCACCCGACCACTATTACATAGAGTCGGTGGCATAGTTGAGGGCCTTAAGGCGGTGAGCATAACACATTAAACCTTTCCAAGGCCTTTGAAAAACTGCTAACCAATAGAAAGCAAGCGGTTTTTTGCAGTAATAAAATGTCAAATTTACGAAATATAATGCGCCGACTTCCACAGGGTTCCATTACGGGTCCATTATTATTTTTAGTTTATATTAATGAACTCTTTGGCTACAGTTAAACATCAAATACGAATGTAGGAACTCTTAAAGGGGGAAATGCAGTTGGCGTAAGAACATGCCAATATGTGGTTTACTTAAGTCAGAGGAATATTGATTTATTTTTCATAAATTGTCACTTATTTTCCGACAATTATGACGTTTTTCGGAAAGTCCATCTTTGTTACCAGAAATTCTGGCTTATTTTTCAGTAATTCACTATACACGTTCGAAAAACAGTCTGCACGAATAAATCGACAACATCTTCACACACAGAACAGGTCACGCCGCCAAAGTACACAACCGAACATTACTGTCGCTTCAAAACCACCGTTTGCGAAATTTATCTTTTGTCCAAGGTCGGTCTCGCAAAAATTTATTATTTATTATTTAAATTATAAACGCTGAAGCCGCCGAAAATCCGTATCATTATTTTCGCTTACCTTCTTATCCGACAAAAATTGACCGGCGATCACTTGGACCGAGCATTGGGCGGCGATGACACCATCTACCGGAATTTCGGCGAACGGATCGAAGGTGCGATCGGGTCGTCTCATGAAATCCGGTTTGAGCAGGTAGCCGCAGTTGCCGTTGTACTCGAACTTGCCCTGGTTCAGTTGCATCGGTAAATCTGACGTTTGAAAATTCAGAGAGACCATTTGACAGCCCGCGTTCCAAAACACCTGTAAATAATCGGAAACGTCAACGCGAGCATGCCGGGCAAACGGGATTGGCATTTAATTACCCGGCTATTATACCCTACCCTAGTCACTGGTTTATTTTGAATATTTTTAGAAATATGTCAGTCAAATTTGACATACTTTTATTTTGCAGAAAAAAATGTAATTAATATTTTAATTAATTAATTAAAATTTTAATCAATATAATCAATATTTAAATCATAATGAATATTTTAATTAATATAATAATTAATATTTTAAGAACACGAAGCCTGAGAAATTTTGGACAAAAAAAATGTTTTTTGAAAAAATCACGGATTTCGTTGGTATTACTTAATTACGGTTTTTTCCATCGCTGCGTCAGCGATGATAGAATAACATTTTCACGATTTCAAATTTCAAGCAGATAATTGCAAATTTTAGACACATTCTGTTAACTTAAGCACTGAATTATTAAAAATTCAAGATTCTAACTTGTTTTCCAGAAATTATTGCTTATTTTTTTAAAATTCAATCTCAAGCCAGAAATTTTGACTTATTTCTCAAAAATCCCCACTTTTTCCCCAGAAATTCTAAATGATTTTTCAGAAATTTTGAGTTAGGTAAGAAATTTTGACTTATTTTGACTTATTTGAAATTCTGATTTACTAATTAGATATTCTAGAAATTCTTACTTATCTATCACAAATTCTGACTTAAGTAGAGATATATTGATTTATTTTCCAGAAATTTTGACTTGTTTTTTAGAAACTTCCATTTGTTTTTCAGAAATTCTGACATTTTTTAGAAATTCAAACTTGTTAACTTGTTTTCCAGATATTCTGACATATTTTTCAAAAATTCTGACTTAAGTCAGAAATGCTGATATACTTTCTAGAAATTGTAACTTATTTTCAGACAACTTTGACATTTTTTAGAAAGTCTAACTTAGTTTCCAGAAATTCTGACTTACATATTAGAAATTCTACCTTGCCTTCTAGAAATTCTGATTTTTTTTTAGAATTTCTTACGTCTTTTCCAGAAATTTTGATTTAAGTAAGAAATTTTGACTTATTTTCATGAAATTCTGACATCAATAGTTTTGTTGATTTGTTTCTCAGAAATTGTAACTTATTTTCAGACAACTTTGACATATTTCAGAAAGTCTAACTTACTTTCCAGAGATTATATATCAGAAATTCTATCTTGCTTTCTAGAAATTCTGGCTTATTTTTCAGATATTCTAATTTGTTTTCCAGAAATTCTGGCATATATATTAGAAACTCTACCTTGTTCTATAGAAATTCTGACTCATTTTCCCGAACTTCTGACTTATTTTTCATAAATTCTAACCCGTTTTCCAGAAATTCTTACTTATTTTATTAAAATTCAATCTTAAGTCAGTAATTTTCACTTACTTTTCAGAAATCCCCACTTTTTTTCCAGAAATTCCAAATTAGTTTTCAGAAATTCTATATATATTAGAAATTCTACCTTGTTCTCTAGAAATTCATTTTCCGGAACTTCTGACCTATTTTGCATAAAATCTAACCTGCTTTTCAGAAATTGAGACTTATTAACCTAATATAATCAATATTTTATTTTTGGTGGCTTTTTAACGCTTTTAATTTATAACTTTTTTAAAGGGCTTAACAATTTCCATCAGAAATTAGTATGAAATACCGTGCGGACTCACCTGCGGCATGTAATTTGACGAATTCGCTCTGGCGCCGCTGGGATATATCCGGGACATCTGTCTCTTGTTGTAGTTGACGAACTCTATGGCCTGCGTTTTTAGATAATTCAGGCCCGCCGGTTCCGAAAAGCTCGACATGTTGTGGTGGACGTTTTTCTCTGAAACGAGTCGCGAAAATGGCGGACATTTCGCGTGGCACGGGCTGCTACTTTAGTCACCTTCGGCTACATCGAAGCCTTGAAATTTCACCGGCTGTGCGTAGTTCACCATCGAACTTAACCAAGGGTGAACGTTGGTAGTGGAAGGGGTATACGATGCGGAGGCGGCGGCTTCGCCGCCTTCACCCGGCGGGGCGTCGGGGGCAGGGATCTGCAGTAAATCGCAAGGAAACTTAACAAACGGCAAAAAACGTACACTGTCGTCAGTCAGTCGGAACGAGAAACCGAAACGTACAAATATAAATAATTGACGGATATAAATAGAGACGTTACAAAAAAACCGCAACAGTTGACGACAGGCTCCTTTTGTAAGAACAGCCTGAATTTGTATTTTATCTTATTAAGATTTGGAGCTTTGGATGCGTTTATAAGTGGTGCACGTTTTGAACAAAATATACAAATAATTTCCTAACATAACCTCCCTATTTACAGAAGTTCTCAGTTACCACAAAACAAAAGAGATAAAAATCCTCCTATAAGAGAAAAGAACTGATGCTGTCACTCAACTATTGAATGTCAGAACTTGTCACAACAAGAGCCATATATTCATGTCTTCGACAGGAAAAGGAGCGGCCTGAGAACTACTCTGAGTGGAATCATTAAGCTTTTCTGAATGATGAAGTTTATAACTTTTATGATACCCTTTTTTGGAAGCCGAACTGACCCTCAAACACGTTATGGAACTTATAAGTCTAGCATGACAAGCTTTTTTATTTTTTGGAAAAAACGCAGAGCAAAGTCACTGCCTCATATTCTTGCTATCCTTTCTGTTTTTTTTTTTATATATATTGGTCCCTACAGACCTACTGATTTTTCAGGAAAATGGTATGACGAGACGTTTACCACAGTGTTTAGTAATTGGAATGAATATTTCAGTTAGCTCCGCCCCCCTCAGACCGTAGATAAGCGCCTATCTGTACTCTTTATCTTAGCATTAGATTTGGGCGTGGTCTTTTTAAGGAGTTTTGTGGTTTCAAATCAGATTTTATTAGCCGTTTGAGCACTTTGATTATGACAGAAATTTATTTGTTAATTTATTTAATCAAACTGGCACACAAAAATATGATTTCTTTCACTTATTCCTTCATCCATTTTGCCAGGACTCATCCAAGGAGTATATTGTTTTACTCAGTAATAATTTTTTTAGCGCGTTTTTCAATTTGCTGTCCTTGGTAATAAGAGTTCGGTGAGTGATTGTAAATTTTGATAGGCATTACGTAGTTGCCTTTCATGGTAGGAAACTCGCAAGTTATTACGCGATCTAGTAATGTGACCTTCGGCCGATGCTAAAGTGCTACGAATAGGTTAAAATCTAAGTTTATGTCCAACAATTTTAATGGTTTCCTCTCCTGAATAGATTATAAAAATACTCCTATAGAGGAAAGAACTGACTCTATATAACTATGAGATTCTTCATCACTGAAGGAGCCTAGTATAATAAGTTTTTTCATAAATTTTGGAAAAAACTACCACGGGGTTCAGTAGTTGAGATGAGTCCCACACTTAGCCCCGCCCCTCAGACCGTATATAAGCGGCAAAGTAATTTCCTGTTACGCTTTTAATTGACAGTTTGTGGGCTTCACTCGATTGGATTTTGTGTTTACAATCTAAAATGAGATAATAAGTAGGGCGAGGACAAAGCTGGAAACTCTTGCATCAAAAGATTTTTCGGATTACATTTACCACAGCATTTGGTAGTAGAGATGAGTCCCTCACCTGGCTCCACCCCGTCAGATCGTATATAAACGGCTACAGAGTGGAAAGCAAACCAGTTTCCCCCTTAAAACCTGCTTTTAATTGAATGAATATTTACTTCTGTCAAAGAAAGAGTTTGTAGGTGTCAATCGACTAGATTTCTGGTTTAAAATCTAATATGGAATAATACATGGGACAAGGACAAAGTTAGAACCTTTTGCACCATTTAGGACGGTGTTTGGTAGTTGAGATGAGCCACTCACTTGGCCCCGCCCCCCTCAGACCGTATATAAACTTCTACAGAGTAGAACGCAAACCAGTTTCCAGAAGATTCGTAAATAGTATCACCTTTTTCGTGTTTTAAGTATGATTTTATGGTTCTAAAGAAAGTTTAATAATGGCGGCTACAGACCTCGGCCGAAATATCCGGCGGGATAGGTCGATCCGCGCTGGCATTGGCGTCTTCTTTCTCCTCGTCCTCTATGACGAACTGGCCCTGCCTGAACAACTCCAATTCCTGTTTCTCGACGTCCGGTTTCAGACGTTTGTTTTTGATCAGGATTTTCCTCTTCAAGAAGGACGGGGGCGGAAGGGGAACGCCAGCATCCAGGGGGAAGTCCTCGAGAGGCTCCTTAAGTAGCAAATCGCCCAGGATCTCATCGCAGTATTTCGCGAGCTTGTGTTGCTGCGTCTTGCAGCAGTGATTCTCGAACGACAGTATGACGGGATAGTCGGACGTGACGAAAGCGGTGTCCCTTATGGCATAAATGACGTCTTTGAACAAGATGTCGGTGCACATGGCACGACCGTGTGTGATGATAGGTTCCTCGTCCTCCCCCCTGCCTACGACATTGGAGTTGAACGATACTCGGGACCAATTAAAACAGTGGCGGCTCGTATAATAAAAATGTCAGGGTTGCAGGGGCGGCTATAGAATGAGGCAAAGTTTTTTGAAAGTTGGCTCATGGTGTTTCTTAAAAATGTTTGATTGTTGAAAGGCACCTTACTGCTTCAGCCGACGCCATAGGGATTGTTATTCAAATTTTTATGAGTTTCACTTAGCTCGGTATTTTGAGGAATAAAATCAGAAAGGAGAATGAGTCCCGAAATTGCTTTAAATTCTTCTGTGTGCATAAATTGCTCGATTTTGGATTGTCTCTTTAAATCTTTGTTCAGGAAAACAAATACTATATTGGCCGTACTCTTCAGAAAAAGAAAAAGAATGGCTGCTATCAAGTGGCCCGTAAAGCTGAATCGTTCCTTTGTTTGACATATGACATATAAATATTCCAGCTTACGACGCTTTGCATTAGATGAAGATGGCCCAACTAACTTTCAAATGATATAGATTTTTTTAATATACATTTTTTTACTGACGATGTATGCTTCTGAATGATTTAAGACGGTAAAACCATTTTTTGTTCATGAATAACAAACGAGGGCAACAAAAAAGGGCGTTTTTTGCTAGACACAGACTGTACTATTTTTAAATATGGAATAGGCCTCCCAAGTCGCTTTATTTCAGCTTTTTCGATGAATGATCAACTACAGGATGGCTTCGAAAGTAAACGTTCAACAGAATTCATATTTAAAAACACCAACTAACAAAAAAAAATGCGATTACGCAACACACGGCAAACGAAAATCCACCTAAACAGTTTTTGTGAGTTGCAAACCGCCACTGAATTAAAACGATAATGTTCTTTTTCTTATGAAAACAAAATGTTTACCGCGACTTTCGCATAAGTTGAAATTTGCAAAAAAAAAGACATTTGGCGGAAGTGGACTTTTTTTAATTTTCGATGGAAGTTTGCTTTTTATTTTTCTGGAAACAATAATTTTACGGAATGTTATCACTTATCTTTATTATTTTTTACCTTACATTCGAATGGCATTCTCCTATGTTTTGACTTGCTTGGCAATTTTGGGATATTTAAAATGATAATTTAAAATAATTAGGTTTGGTCAGCTAACCGAAACTTATCACTAGATTAGGATTAGTCTAGTATTTTATTCTGAAATTAGAGTCTTATTTTTTAAATTCTAGATAATACATTAAGAACAAGCCCAAAAAAGTTTTTTTCCCAAAATCCAACTACATCTTACGTTCTTTTATACATATTTCAGATTAGGATAAAGATATTGAGATGCGGGTTTCGACGGGTTTTTGGGGAGTTATTCGACTATCTAATGATATGAAAAATTTCTTTTTTGTCAAGGAAAAGCCCATTTTAACTACAATTTTTGTTTTCAAATTTCTAATACCATACTTGGGGGAGTATATCTCTACGAAACGCTATTACAGTGGTTCAATCGGTTATCAGTTCCAAGGTAAATGTTTTTTTTTTTTCAAAATGTTTAAAACTTTCGACGGTCGCAATTCTTTAGGAAAGTTAATTGAAAATAACACAAAGGTTTCAACTCAATGAACAAAAAAGCTTGATCCAAACTATGCGCTTACTCAGTACCTGCTTACGTATGGTTTGAGGGGGACGGTGCCTTAAAACTAAGACAAATAAACTCATCAACAGTTGCCGAACACGCGCTTCCCTTCTCTTTTTTTTTTTTAGCGCCGCCCCCCTCAGACCGTTTATAGGCAGGTACTAAGTTGGTCCTAGTAAATATTTTGTTTTCTAAACAAAATTTCAGGAACTTTACCGTCCCAACAGTCGAGTTCGACGCATCGGCAACCGGCCAACAAAACTTGACGGTACATTTCGACGGAAGACCGACCGCCGAACTGCCGTCCAATCAGGTAAGTGTTGTGGCTGGAGTTTATGTAGTAAGCGCACAAGGGCTGATCCATGTCCATGTAGATGTCGAGACGATCGAGGAATACGGGTGCATTCTCGTCGGACATCAAATACCTTCAACAAATATTGCGCGAATGTTTGGACGTTATTAACATTATTGGACAAAATTAAGTTAATAGGGCCTACATTATAAGAAAAAGTGTTTTGCATTACAAACGTCACTTCGACATACAAGTCACGCCTTTGGTATAGGAACAAGTAGTAGAATGTATAGAAAAAATACCATAGTATACGGGCGTTCCATCTGCGTAAAAAAAGGATAAGGTAAAGGAGGTTGTTTTTGAAGAAAATGGCAATGAGAATGTCGGTTTTGATAACGTTCTGATACACAAAAAAAAGATAATTTTGACAACAACTGGATGATGTTTCCAAAAAGGCAACGAGGAGGAGTAAAGTTTCGTCAGAAGATGAAGAAGGTTGGATAGATAGTGGGAAAAAACAGTTCAACCTTAATTAGTTTGCCCGTCACTTTTGTCAATATATAATTTTTCACTTTTCATGTGTCAATAAATGGTTTTTAATTTTTTTTTATTTCATTGTTAAATCTTCGTAAACATCAAGAAAAATTCACCGAGACTACATATAGGTCGCAATGCTCTGCATTAAAATGCTTAAGCCTCATATAAATATGTCAATAATTGTTCACCTATGTTGAGCAATGGGAAAATCTTGGTCATAGAAGAAAAGAAGTTTAAAGAAACTAACCTCTCTATATACCTGATAAGAACGTCAGCAACACGCTGGGACTTATTTCTCAGAAGTTCTGACTTTCCAGCTTGAGTCAAAAATTCTGACTTAAATAAGAATTTCTAACTGAAATCGGAATTTTTGCGAAACAGGACAAAACTTTTGCTAAAAAAGTAACAAATATGAACTTATTCCTTATAAATTCTGACTTAGTTATTTCTTATTTTTATTTAAGTCAGAATTTCTGCGAAACAAGACAGAGTTTCTGAAGTTTTAATTCGCAATGTTCCATATGTCTGCACTAACGTCAGTAATTCTGACTTATCTCAGAAATACTGACTTACTTTTTAGAAATTCCGATTTATTTCTCAAAATTTCCAACTTACGTAAGAATTTCTAATTGATATAGGCATTTTTACGAAAGAAGGAAAAATTTCTGCTCAACAAGTAACAAATTATGGCCTATTTCTTTGAAATTTCAACTTTTGTAAGAACGTGTTATCTCAGAAAACCTGACAAGTCAGTAATTCTGACTTTTTTTTCAGAAATTCTGACGTATTTCTCAGAAATTCCAACTTACGTAAGAACTTCTAACTTAAGTCGGAATTTTTAAGAAACAAGGCAAAAGTTCTGCTAAAAAAGTAACAAACTTTTACCATTTTCTCAAAAATTGTGACTTAAGTAAACATTTCCAACTTAAGTCAGCGCATGTCCGAAAGAAAACAGAGTTTTTGCAAAATAAATAACCAGCTCGGACTTATTTCTCAGAAATTCTGACTTAAGCAAAAATTTCCAACTTAAATCAGAACTTCTGCGAAAGGAGGCAGAATTTCTGCAAAAAAAAGTTTAATTTAGGTCAGAATTATTACCAAACAAGGCGGAATTTCTGCGAAGAAAAATAACAAACTCGGCCTTTTTTCTCAGAAATTTTCCCACTTAAGTCGGAACTTCTGCGAAAGAAGGTAAAATTTCCACAAAACAATTTCGACTTATATAAGAAGTTCTAACACAAGATCGCGGAATATTCCTCCATCCCAGACGCGCCTCCATATATCACGTGATAAAACCGTCAGCAACAAACTAAGATTTATTTCTCAGAAGTTGTGACTTTGGAGCTTAAATCAGAACATCTGTAAAAGAAGGCAGAATTTCTGCAAAGCAATTTACCAGTTCGGACTTAATTCTCAGAAATTCTGACTTAAGTAAGAATTCCTAACCTAAATTGAAATATTTGCGAAACAAAGCAAACTGCCTTCTAAAAAAGTAACAAACTAGGATTTATTTCTTAGAGATTCTAAATTATATAACTTAGAACTTCTGCAAAAGAAGACAGAATTCTGATGTTTTAATTCGCAATGTCCCTTATGTCCGCACTTAAATCAGAAACTCTCACAAATACTGACTTATTTCTCAAAAATTTCAAATTACTTAAAAGAATTTATAACTTTAGTCGAAATTTTTACGAAACAAGGCAGAATTTCTGCGAAAAAAATAACAAAGTCAGATTTATTTTTCAGAAATTCTGACTTAAGCAAAAATTTCCAACTTACATCGAAGGAAGGCACAATTTCTGCAAAAACAATTCCGACTTAAGTAAGAATTTTTAATTTAGATCGGAATTTTTACGAAACACGACAGAATTTCTGAGAAAAAAATTAAAAAACTCGGACTTATTTCTCGGAAATTCTGACTTAAGTAAAAATTTCCGACTTACGTAAGAATTTCTAATTTACATCGGAATTTTTACGAAACACGACAGAATTTCTGGGAAAAAATTAACAAACCCAGACTTATTTCTCGGAAATTCTGACTTAAGTAAAAATTTCTGACTTACGTAAGAATTTCTAATTTAGATCGGAATTTTTACGAAAGACAGAATTTCTGCGAAAAAATTAACAAACTCGGACTTATTTCTCAGAAATTCTGACTTAAGTAAAAATTACTTATTTAAGTCAGAACTTCTGCGAAAGAAGACAGACTTCTGATGTTTTAATTCGCAATGTCCCTTATGTTCGCACTTAAATCAGAAACTCTCACGAATACTGACTTATTTCTCAAAAATTCCAAATTACTTAAAAGAATTTATAACTTTAGTCGAAATTTTTATGAAACAAGGCAGAATTTCTGCGAAAAAAATAACAAAGTCAGACTTATTTTTCAGAAATTTTGACTTAAGTAAAAATTTCCGACTTACGTAAGAATTTCTAATTTAGATCGGAATTTTTACGAAACACGACAGAATTTCTGCGAAACAATTAACAAACTCGGACTTATTTCGCAGACTTAAGTAATAATTTCAATTAAGTCAGAACTTCTGAGGCAAAGAAGGCAGACTTCTGATTTTTTAATTCGCAATCTTATGTCCGCACTGACTTGTTTTTAAGCATTTCTGATTTATTTCTCAAAACTTCTAATACAAGATCGCGAAACACTTCTCCGGATTCTTCCCCTATACCTGATAAGACCGTCCTTGGTCATTTTCTTGGTAGACTTCGCCGTTTCGTCTTGCTCGTACGTTTCGATAATTTCGGTCGCCCTTTTCTCGTCGTACAGCGGGTAGAGGATCTCGTTCAGACGCGGATCGCGTTGCTTCTCGTTTAGAAAATTGATCAGCTGATCGACGGTCATGTGATCGCCTTTGCCCTCAGTTCTGTAAAAACTCAACCGCGGTCCCTAGGCTAGTAACGACCACATTAACGGCTCACATGGTCCTGAAGAGTTCCTCGATATCGTTTCGGGGACAGATTTTATGGTAGAGACTGTAAAACTTGTCGAAGGTGAAGGCGTCGGGCTCGATGGCGTCGTTTTTGCCGCTGGGCAGGCCCAGCTCGGCCAGAAATTGGTACACCAATTTCTCGGTACGGCCGGAAGCGAAGGTTCTCGCGATTACCTTCACGGGAATCTGACCTTTCTGGTCTATCAAGAAGCCGAGTCGCATCCAACTAAAATAATTTCGCTTTCCGAGTTATGAACTTCAAAAGTAAGTTGGAATTTCTGCGAAACAAATAACAGATTCGAACTTATTTTTCAGAAATTCCGACTTCGTAAAAATTCCCAGCTTAAGTCAGAATCATTGCGCAAGAAGCCAGGATTTCTCGCAAAGAAGGCAAAATTTCTACTGACTTACGTATGAATTTCTGACTTAAGTAGGAATTTCTACGAAACAAGTAACAAATTATGGATTATTTCTGTGAAATTTCAACTTATGTAAGAACTTCGAACTAAAGCCAAAATTTTTGCAATATGCATCTACGTTATCTCAGAAAAACTGACTTGTTTTTCAGCAATTCTGACTTAATTCTCAGAAATTCCAACTTAAGTAAAGATTCCTAACTTAAGGTAGAATTCTTGTAAAGAAGCCAGGATTTCTGATAAAGAAGGTAGAATTTCTGCGAAACAAGTAACATTATCGCACTCATTTCCCAGAAATTCTGACTTAGTAAGAATTTTTGACTTAAGTCCGAATTTCTACGAAACAAGTAACAAATCCTGGCTTATTTCTCTGCAATTTCAAGTTAAGTAAGAACTTTTAACTCAAGCCAGAATTTTTGCGAAAGAAGGCAGAATTTCTGCACTCATTTTCCAGAAATTCTAACTTACGTAAAACTTCAGTCAACTAACTTAAGTCAGATTGATTGCGCAAATAAGCAGAATTTCTGCTGACTTACGTATGAATTTCTGACTTAAGTCAGAATTTATGTGAAACAAGTAACAAATTCTGGATTCTGGATTCTGGAAATTTCAACTTACGTAAGAACTTCGAACTAAAGCCGGAATTTTTGAGAAAACAAACAGAATAAATACCCAGCTCGGACTTATTCCTCAGAAATTTTGATATCTGCAAAAATGTCGAACTTAAGTCAGAACTTCTGCGAAAGAAGGCAGAATTTTGTGCTAAAGAAGTAATAAGCTCGGACTTATTTCTCAGAAATTTCGACTTAAGCAAAAATTGACAACTTAAATCAGAACGTCTGCCAAAGAAGGCACAATTTCTTCAAAACAAGTAACAAGCTAGAACTAATTTCTCAGAAAGTCTGACTTAAGCGAAAATGTCGAACTTAAGTTAGAACTTCTGCGAAAGAAGGAAGAATTTTGTGCTAAAGAAGTAATAAGCTTGGAGTTATTTCTCAGAAATTCTGACTTAAGCAAAAATTGCTAACTCAAGTCAGAACGTCTGCTAAAGAAAGCACAATTTCTGCAAATACAAGTAACAAGCTAGGACTTATTTCTCAGAAATTCTGACTTCACTAAGAATTTCCAACTTAAATCGGAATTTTTGCAAAACAAGGCAAAATTTCTGCTAAAAAAGTAGCAAACTCGAACCTACTTCTTACAAATTCTGACTTAGCTAAAAATTTCTTATTTAAGCCAGAACTTCTGGGACAAATGCCAGAATTCTGATGTTTTAATTGTGTGCCCATTTATATCAAAAATTCTGACTTGTTTTTTAGAAAATCTGACATGTTTCTTAGAAATGATGACTTAGTAAAAAATTCTCATTTATTCCTCAAAAGGTTACCTAATTAAACTAAACTAAAACCTATATTTTATTTTTGGTGGCCTTTTAGCGCTTTCGTAGATCCATCAATATATATTTTTATATATATAAAAAAAACGATAACACTTACTGTTTCATGAGGGCAGTTCTGGGGCAAATGTTCGCCATTTTATTATTGTGGGTGATTTGCCGCAGGCCCTGCTGCCATATCTAGGGTAGAAAAGCCATGCAACACAAAGAAAGCATGCGAAACAAGTTATTTATTGAATTTAAAAAAAAAAAAACAGCTTGCAAAAATAGAGAAAAACGTCACAAATCCTCACAACAAAATGAGCAATTCGGCTAAGCTTTCGACATGCACACATAAGATTTTAAACTTACTGTTTCTTTAAACACGTCATAGGGCATATATTATTAGCTTTTACATTGTGAGTGATTTGCCTTAAACCTTCCAACCAATCCTTAAACAAGGTGAGAAAATTTCTTAGTAAATTGTTAAAAAAAAAAAAATTTCATATATCAGCTTCTATAAGTTAACTAGATTATTATTTAAAGTTTGAAGTTTTTTTTTTTATGATACAAGGAGGATGAATAATCGATAAGAAATATTACAGTAAAGGTAAAACAAAAATCCTGTTTTTTTGTCAAATATACTGTGAAGCACATATTATTAAAATTTGTAGAAAACAAAATACAATTATCATCTTACCTTGGCAGTTTCGGGCGTAGGACAAACAATGTGCTGATAATTTACGTTTATATAATCGGTTCCGCTGCAAATGGTAAGGGATTTATCGTCCAGATTGTTGCCATGTTTGGTAAGCAAGTTATTAAGGAGCTTTGCGTCTTTGGGTACTCCGCCGGCCCTCACATCGCTTACTTGGCACAGTTCTATAACCTCGCCGTCCTAAGGTAGAAAAATAATACAGTTGCAACCAAATAGTGACGAATTAACTCACTCGTCCATCACTCTTCCAGTATATGAAGAAACCATACTCGTCGACCTTAAACGTAGCTTTCTGCTCGTATTCCACATTATCTTTCTCTTCGGTCCAGCGATCGACAACACAACCGCTCAACAAAGGCTCGGGAACAGCAATGTGCCAGTCGAATTCGAACTTTTTGGTCATTTTGGTTCACATAGAAGATTGTCCAAGGCGCATGGAAATTTCGATTCTCCGATTACATCCCAGCGATCCTGAAATTGCGTTTAATGAGTGAACTCGGTTCGAACAACTCCCGCGGAACGCTATCGCGCGCGGGCAACCGAAACCGAGATGCGTTTTTTCGCGAAACCGCAAAAAAAATTATGTTTATTTACTTCGCGTTCCCGACGTTTTGACTTCTTGTGACGTCACGCGTCAATAAATTTTCTTCTTCTTCAAAACGCGAAAAAAATTGCTATATCCCGCGGAGTTTGCGCTATTTTTCCGGACAACGTTCGAAATAAATCGGGAACGTATTTGTTTTCCACGAAAATATTTTGATCGCGATTGGGAATTACTGTTCCCTAGGTCGTTTCTGAATTTGTCCTAATTCGGACGTAGATCAATACAGGGCTTATTACGTTACGAATATTGATTATTAACGTACCCACGTACACTGAATATTGCCTGCGGGCTGGAACCGAAAAATATACTTAATGTTCGTAAAATGGGGGCCGTTCTGGAGGAAACCTTTTCGTGCGCGCTAATTTAATTTACTTCCGCATTAGGCATAATCCAATATTACGAGAAATCAATGAACGCCGACTCTAAATTTTATCTTGTTGGTTTCACGATACAAGAACACCATCGTTTTTTTATAAATGGACTAGCGTTTAACGATTTTTTTAGCTTTAATTTATTTAAACCCTACTTAACTAATCCGACCAAATCCCCAACCGACCAAAAATGTTACTGCGGTGGCGAGTATATCCCAGAGCAGCTTTCAAAAACAGCTGCTCGGTGTTATATCTGTTTCGATCCCATCGCATGTTATTTTCTGGTTAAAGGATGGCTTCTATTATAAAAAACCAGTTACTTAAACATTTGTCCCGGTGAGTGTGTGTGACCTTTGATGTCACGTTGCGGGACTTTTCACGCCCTCTTTCAGATTTACCAAAAATCTCTCCTCCGATAAAATAAACCTGAGCACCTTCAAAGGGGAAGGCGAGTTGTCCAACTTGGAGTTGAACGAGGTGGTTTTGACGGACCTGTTGGAATTGCCCTCGTGGCTCAGGCTCACCAAGGCTTGGTGCAACAGAGTTACCTTCCGAATTCCGTGGACTAAGTTGAAAACGATGCCGATCCATTTAGTAGGTTTTATGGTTTTATTGAATGGTCTAGTGCGAATTTACGTTTCAGTCCCTGGACGAAGTGAACATCACGGTCGAAACGTGCGAAGAGTTGAGATGCGTGTCGCCTCAGGGAGCGCTCTCGTACGCTCCCGGAAAATATAGTTTTATTCATAAGGTCATAGACGGAATAACGGTGACGGTGAACACGGTGAACGTGTTGTTCAATAGTCCGGCATTTATCGCTACCGTTCAGGTTGGTATATTGGATATGATTGAGTAAAGACGGAAAATTTATTATACTGTTTTAGATACAGAGAATAGTGGTCGAATCTGTAACACCGAAGTTTACTAGGATGGAGTTGCCCCTGACGAGACTGAAAAGCCCCGAGAAGGGTCAGATTTTGATTTTCAAAGAGTTGCAGTGGCAAACGGTGAGGATAGAGGCGAAATCAACGAGGGATAGAAATTTGACCCCGTTGCGGTTGTTGACGAACCAGGCCCGGTGCCGAATAACCATAAAGAAGCGCTTGTCAGGTCGGTTCCGGGGGGGTGTTCCGTGTTCCGTCGAATTGCGTTGACGCCCGTTTCTGTGTTTCAGATTGTTTCATTCTGGGGTCGAGGTTAGTGATAATACTGGACGATTTGCTGTGGGTGCTCACCGATTCCCAGTTGAAAGCGGCCTTACATTTTCTGGATTCTCTAACGGGCTTGATACAAAAGGCCACCCAGATTACGAGGAAAGCGAAAGCGGCCAGAAAACTGGACGTGAGTGAATTATAAAAATTGCATTTTTTTAAACTGATGTTAACTTTCTGGCAGGAGTTGCCCGAATACCAGGCCCAGTTGCCCCAGGAGTGCCGTCCGAACGTCGGACAGAGGCCCGCCAAGCCGTCGGGTCGTATGTTCTCGCAGTACGACGTAATCGAGACTTCCTATCATTTCATGTCCAATCATATTGTGTTACATTTGTGCGACGATCCCGGAGGTGAGCCCCAATCCCGTACTCTAAGAGGGTTTCGCCGTATTCCTTTTCAGAAGGCCGATCGGGCCATCCGAACCTGAAAGACGGCGGCGCCTTGCAGATTAGCGTCAGGCGATTTCAGGTCGACTTCTATCCCTATCACTTGGCCAAAGGTACGGGACTGGGAACGGCGGCAACTTTTAGAAAAATCGTGTCGTGTTGTTTCCGCAGGTGACCGGAAGCACTGGCCGACGTACAACGCGTCCCAAGTCCCGCACTCCTTGTGGCAGGAACAGGCCCTAGCCGCTTTTAAAAGTAAATTTCTAGACCTATTCGACAGGAATAAAACGCAACACGCGCCTTTGAGCAGAGTGCCCAAAGTAAGTTTTTTTGTTTTTTGCGGATATTATTAACATTGCATGGATGTCCAAATAATTTTACTAAAAGTTTATTTAATTATAAAATATATGTATAAAAAATACGCTGTTTTATAAAAAAAATACCACGAGTTGTCTCAGAGTTGGTCTTAAAATAAAAAATAAATAATAATAAATAAAAAATAATAATAAATAAAATTTTATTTTTGATTTTTTTCCGATTTTACACTAACATCGTGTAGATTGTCAAAAATTTTTACTGAAAGTTTATTTAATTAAAAATATTTTAAAAAATATTCCGTTTCAAAACCCCTTTTTAAAAGTTTTTACTGGTTGTCTCAGTGTCGGGATTCAAATAAAAAATATTTAAATATGCTTTTAAATATTTTTTTTTATTTAATTAAAAATAAATTAAACAAATGCGCCGTTATATCTCTGATTTTTTTCGTTCAAGTTCTCTCAGAGTCGGTATTAAAATAAAAAAATAATTAATAACAATAAATAATAAAAAATAATAATAAATAAATTTGAACTTTTGATTTTTTCCATGGATTTCACTAACATTGCACGAGTTGTAAAAAATACCACAGTGTCGAGATTAAAATACAAAATAATTAAGAATACTACTAAATAAATAAATAATAAAATTTAATTTTTGATTTTTTTTCCACGGATTTCACTAACGTATAGATTTTCAAATAATTTTACTTTTTTAATTAAAAATAAATTAAACAAATACGCCGTTATATAATCTTTTTTTTTAATACCGCGTATCGGTATTAAAATAAAAGTTAATTAAATATAAATATATAAATAAATTTAAAAAAAAAATCGTTTTTTTTTAATATTCTGTGATTTTTTTCGTTCAAGTTGTCTCAGGGTCAGTGTTAAAATGAAAAAATGTAAAAAATACCACAGTGTCGAGATTAAAATACAAAATAATTAAGAATACTACTAAATAAATAAATAATAAAATTTAATTTTTGATTTTTTTCCACGGATTTCACTAACGTATAGATTTTCAAATAATTTTACTTTTTTAATTAAAAATAAATTAAACAAATACGCCGTTATATAATCTTTTTTTTTTAATACCGCGTATCAGTATTAAAATAAAAGTTAATTAAATATAAATATGTAAATAAATTTAAAAAAATCGTTTTTTTTTTAATATTCTGTGATTTTTTTCGTTCAAGTTGTCTCAGGGTCGGTGTTAAAATGAAAAAATAATCAAATATACTAATAAATAAATTCATACAATTTCAAAACGGGTTTAAAAATTTTATTTTCAATTTTTTTTTCGAAATTCGCAAATTCGAAAACGTGTTTTTAAAGAAATACCATTAATTCTCTCAATGTCGGTGTTAAAATTAAAAATAATTAAATATACTATTAAACTAATAAATAATTTTTTTTTCGAAGTTCTGTCTCCACATTGTTTTGTTTCTCTTCATATTTAGACAACTTTTGAATAATTAATAAAAAAAAAAACTTTTTTTTTCAAATAAAAACTTTGACACTAAAACAAATCAGAATAAAAAAAATTGGTATTTTTACCTGTAATCTCCGATTTTAGACGTTCGACGATTTTAAAAGTTGAGAAAAATTCAAATCCTTTTTGTTTGGAAAGCGCGGCTTTTTAATGGCGTTAGATAGTCAATATTAACAAAAGAAGTGCCAAAGAAAGTTGGATTTTGGGAATAATTCCAGTACGAGTGATAATACAAAATATTTGATAACCTCGAAATATTAGCCTTGAGACGTATTGCAAAAAAATCCATAATGATGCATGATTTTGATTGTATATATCACTCTGGACAATAACTACCCGTAAATTGGCAAATTTTCCCAAAATTCAACTTTTTTTTTTAGCGTTGTTTGATACATATTTTAGGTTAGGATAAAGATATTGAGATACCGCTTTCACTGGATTGTATGGCCTTTATTTGAGTCACTTATAACACGATTTATAGCGTGGAAAAGCCCTTTTTAGCTACGCCGTAAGTAAAAATTCGAACACAATCGTTAGATATGGACACATTTTGACAGAACACTGTGAAATTGACGAACCGTCAATGGCCGTATTTATTTCTGAACGCGCTATTGGGCCAAAAAAAATAACCTCAAATTTTTCCTCTGGAATTTGGAGCATCTTTCATGAGTGACTTACCGAATATTGTAGGCCCCTCAAACCGAATATTCCCCAGCTTTTAATCCCGCGAGTCCCGAACATAGGAAGCCTTCCAGTCCCAGTCATAGAGAAATCAAGGGACGGTTAGAGTTGCAACTGGCAAAGTTGATGACGACCTGCGTCATTATTAGGATAGACGATTTCGCGATATACAGGGTGACCACCTCGGGGAAAAAACAACAGCTTAAGGAATTCCTTAGCGGTAAGCCTTTGTAGCGTCGTTTCTCGGGTCTGGGTGTCTATTGTATACTTTCTATTTCGTTTCTCAGCTCAACAAAAGAGGAGAGACAAAAATCCCTCAGGTACCGATAGAATCGTAACTTAGCCCTTGGTAGCACCGACATTTTCGAAAAATAACCCCTCATGGTTATGGTTTTTCTTTGTTTTGTATCCCCCCGAATTTTTTTCTTTTGTGTTTGCTACGATTTTTTTCTGATAGTTGGTAGCATGATATCCCGCCACTGCGGAACGATCCTATGTCAACCGTCGGACATTCGGTTTTACCAATAAACAATACTCCAAGTACTATTTGGAAATCATCCGGATATTTCAGAAGCTTAGCCGAAACTCGCTTGCATTCCACTTTATACCCGCTTATATACGCTTTGAAGGGGGCGGGGCTACATTAGCGGCATGAACATCGCCTGGATTCACCGATTCCTACACTAAAATAGTATATGTATGTGTAAATTAAGGTCGGTCTAGAAAAGACGATTATTGTTTTTTGGATCTGACATAAAAACTAGTTGCTAGTTATGGTCTGTTCATAGATATAAGAAAGTGACCAATTGCTTTTGAATGGGATTATCTAAGGGTGGTCATTAATATACAATGCAACAAGATTATTACCTTAATTAATAATTAATTACAGTAATTAATAATAATAATCTTGTTGCATTGTATGTTAATGAGCACCCTTGGATAATCCCATTCAAAAGCAATTGGTCACTTTCTTATATCTATGAACAGACCATACCTCTAGCTCTTAATATTAATGGTACAGAATAGGAGTAGATCTTTAAGCCAATTTTGTTGATAATATGAACGCTCTAAAAAAATGATTTCTTATTCTTTTTCGATAAATCAAAGATTGAAGATTTTAAAATAACTTTTTGTTCTGAACTTTGTTATTGACTGAAAAATAATTATCGTGAAATGTATTCAATTATTCTTATAGGAAATTTAACGCTTTACAAAAAAGGTCTCTTGTGGCCTATCGATTACTCGAACCATTTTGAAGATATTTGCATTGGAATCCCATTGGGTACTTGTATTCACAGTTTTTAATAAATATTTTCGATGTATTCATTAAATTGACGAGTTTTCACAACGTTAATAAAAATTGGAGTTTATTTTGATAAAATGACAGTTTTTAAATTATTTTTTACAATTCGCTTTGGAGTATATTTCTTCCTAATCGAATTTCTAGCTATATTTTCTTTTATAATTTTACTGTAAATTGAATATTTCTCAACGGATTCGTTTAAAACAAAACTTTTTTTTTCCACAAATTTTATAATTTACTGTTAGTTTTAAAAAAATTGGTATTTCTGTTATTCATTCATTTCTTGTTATTAATTGATTTATTAAAAGCTATGAATATAAGTACCCATTGGGATTCCAATGCAAATATCTTCAAAATGGTTCGAGTAATCAATAAACCACAACGGACCTTTTTATAAGAATAATGATGTTTCAGTCAATAACTATATTGAAAATGCAAAACTGTAGTGAGGATAATTTTGCCATTAAGAGCTCATACCTGCTAAGTGCTTTCTAGAGTTAACTAGCAACTAGTTTTTGTCTGTCTTTTTTACTTTTTTTTTTCATATAGTATTGTTGTTAATATTCGTGGGTTTCTAAAAAATTCTGGTGTCCTTCTAATATCGCTCCCACTTAACCTGTTCTAGTTCTTGTCTCTAATAATATCCACATTAGAGGTACTACGCGTCCCATAATATCAAAAAAACATAACCGACCGCATATCAAAAGCATAGGAATCAGTCATGCTAGACCATGTTCATGCGGCCTTCGTAGCCCCGCCCCTTTCAGACCATATGATGAAGATTAAGATTAATTTTTTGCCCAATGTCGGACATTTTGCGCAGAGTCGTTCCGGCGGGCGTGACACTAGTGTTTGTTTTATCTGACAATTTCGAAAAAAAAAATGCGTTCAAGGCCGTCTACAGAAACGACCGACATTGATAATTGTTTATAGGAGACCGCAATCGAATGTCGTTGCCAAAGGAAGCCAGCATCGTACACGCCGAATATATCCATTATTATTATCCCAGCGACATGCCTTTCCCACGTAAGATTTCATTAATGCCGTAATTATTCGCGTTTAACAGAGGGTTCTGGTATTCGTAGTGCCCGCCCCCAAGTTCTACGTCCAAATTAATCCCATTCAAATCGTTTTCGATGTCGACACCATCCTGTGGATGAATTCGTTCGGCCTGAATCTCTACCAGTCATTGGCGCAGGCCAAAAGTGAAGTACAGACTTCTAATTACACATACGTCGACGTCAAAATCGAGTCTATTCTACCAAAGGTACGTACAAGGTTTCAGTAGGCATACTAAGAAATTGTCGAACTTTTTTTTTTTTCGGCATTTCAGGTACGTCATAAAAATAATTAACTATATTGTTTTTTTAAAATTCACGGATCATCCAAATTTGTTTACATCGTCATGTTTCGTCAAAAAAAAACTGTCTGCGGTTGTTCGCATAAAAATCTTCCTTCTTATAGCGTCGATCTAATTTTAATAAAATATTCAAAACTCTTTAGGGTTAGAAAAGTTACATTGGTTTTAGATCGATATAAATCATAAAACCCTCATATCTTCAGTCTTTTATTGGGAGGGTACAATTAAACGAATGTCAATTTTTGAAAAAATAAACTGCCCCGGCTTCAGAGCTCAACTGAAACTGACTTGCATCCTACTTAGTACCTGCCCATGTATGGTTTGAAGGAGGCGGAGCTAAAGAAGGGGCATGGAAATTTTCCGGATGACCGACTCCTAAATTGGTGTTTGATTTTGAATTTGATTGTGTTCGTGGATGATACTTTTGTTATTGGCAAACAACCCCTCCTTCGTTTTCTTAGCCGTTCTTAGCTCCGCCCCCCTCAGCCCGTATATAAGCAGGCACTGAGTAGGAATGCGAGCCAGTTTTCCGCTCAATCTCCATTATTTTCACCATCGTAGGTTAATTTCGAGAGTCATTTGGACTATCCGTCGCAGCGGGACAGGCCTAAATGTCTCAGTATTCAAGTAACTAGGGCGACGGTCACCAACGTTAGAACGCTGGAGCATTCTTCTAGAGCCGACCTCGGTATACGCGACCGAAACAATCGAAAATTCACTTTAACCCTAATCGTTTGTAGCTAAGTGCGTGGACTCCTTCCACATGGGTTCCCTTTTTTTCGGTAGCGATTTTCCGTCTCGCCCCGGAGATTTCTACATCGTGACCCAGAAATTCCTTGACCACATATCTGCCGCGGATAATGTCCGTGCGGAGCCCAAGGAATTGGATATTTCCTCCATGGATAACTTGGTTCTTGAGCCCGATCGTAAACCAGAACCGTCAATTGATCGTGTACCGTTCGTAGGTTCGGCAGCTCAGCAAAGAACTGCTATGGGTGGAGGCTAAAGACATTTGGTACGTTTCTTTGGATCCCGTTTTCGGCGATTTCTGCGGCGCCCGTGGGGACGCTTCCAACAAACCGGTACCCTTCCTGGACGCGGTACCCGTTACGGTTTGGCTCCACGCCACTTTGGATCCCAATAGTACCATCAAAACGAAAAACGCCGATAGTTTGAACGCAGGTAATGTGTGCGCATCTCATTACGAACGGTTATTCAAAAAGTGAAGTGTTGAAATTTTGACTGGAGTGATTCGAGGTTCAATTTTGGGCAGTTATTTATGCATCTGATATGTTGAAATCATTAAGTTATTGTGAAACTCAGACCTGTACAGACATGCTATCAGTTTTCAGTAATGATCACGCAAATTTACATCTTTATAGTGACCTTTACCTTGAAAAAACTAGGAAATTGTTTATCGCTTCTAGAAAACACTCATGCAATAAAGCAGCACAAATATTGAGACAGCTTTTGGCTTCTTCAGAGCTTAACTGAATTGTACTCTATATTTGCTTACATAGGGTCTGAAAAGGGAGGGGTCAAAGGACTGGTCTAGTCTAAATAATTTCTTTTTATTCCATAGTTAAACGTTCAAAATTCAACACGAAGATATGGATGACGTGTTTATCATCAGTTCACCGTTTGGAATGATTTTCTTTTCATTTGAATTACCAAATGTAACTCGCTTTATTTTTGCGTAAAACGTAACATTTCGTTTTTAAAATCACGGGCCATCTTCAGAGATACGTTGCAGAGATAATTTTTTGCGTTACCGTTGTGTGGAAAATGTTTCGAAAACAAATAGGTAAAAGTCAAATTACCATTTGTTATGTATATCGACAAATCGTTATTTGACTTTTATCAAATGCAAATGAATTTTTAAACTAAGCTAAAATGAATGTTGTAAAAAAAATAGACACAAAGTTTATATATGTATATATAGTTTCTTCTTATTCTACAACATTGAACAACATATAAGGAGAATTCTGACAAAATACGTCACTCCACACGTGCGTATGTGGACCAGAACTCCCTTGTCGAGATTTTGTGTTCCAGAACGCCCCTTATGCATCTACTTACCTTAGTGGCAAGTATCCATGGCAGACTGGCCCAATAAAAGCAAGAAGTAGAAGACACACCCTTATGGTATTTTTCGACCAATTGGGAATTATATAAATTTTAAATGTTTTCCGTGTCAATTTGGTTGAGAAAGTCGAGTCATTTCTGTCAAATGTCAAAGATACGTTTGAGTTGCTCCCATATCTTACCTGAATAAGTGCAACACATAGGAAAAAAAGTTAAATACAAAAATTGTGTATTTTATTTTTAGTATTTTTATGTATGCAGGGTGTTCAGTAACCAAAGACAGCGTACGAAATTTTCCATGGATCCATAATGAAAACTCCCAATTTTAGTTTTTGTTTTTTTATTGAACTTTTTTTCCTCGTACTTATTGATATAAGGCATAGGGGCATCATAAATATACCACCCAATAAAAAAAGTTTTATTTCATCGCAGTTCCTGACCTTATTTTTCAGATATACACGCGTTGGCGTACATCTCGAACTTGGTTAGCATACAAATCAACCATTATCAGTATCTGTTCCTGCTGAGACTTGCCGAGCAGGCGTCGGAACTGACCACGTTTTTAACTATGGACTCCGATCGAATACTGAAAGTGAGCGAACCGTTTCCGTTTCAATCGACGGGTCGATCAATAATCCGCGTTAATTTAAGACTAACGTCAACAGTTCTATGGCGATAGGCGCGTTGATCCCCCAATTGGAGGTGACGTTCGTGATGCCTCCCCAAAGTCCCGGAAAAGAGTCTTCCGGAGGCGACGGGGAATCGTTCGTTCCGGATTTTTCCAGCATCGACGATATCGCGGTCACTACGCAAGGTATAAGCCGGCTCGGTAAACCAAAAAGGGTAATCCTGCTACTTACGCACGTAGTGGATTGGTAAATTTTAACCGTGGTCGCCGAATGAAACTGCTGTAGTTATTCAGTTTCACCATGAAATTATATATATATCATAATAATCATAATATCAAAATGAAACTCCAGTCCGACAAACAAAAATCATAACCTTTTAGGTGTTGTCTGTTCTCTGTCCCCCCCCCCCCCGTCTGTTCTCTGTATACGCTCCATAAAAACGTGAATATCTTCCGAACAATTCGAGTGAGGGACCTGAAATTTGGATTCTTTTTAGCAGGCCACGAGGCACTATTTTCCAGAGCCGATTCTGATAGTGTATTTTGAATTGTTTGTTTAAACAGTGGCGTACATAGTCAGGATTATTGTTGGTTCTCTTATTATCTACCTTTTTAAACAACGGTAGTATCAATCCGATTTTCCTCTATTTCCACATATTTAAAATTATTAAATATTAACCAAATAATGACATGTAGGTATAACAAAACAAGCTAAAATTGAAAAATAACCTCTTCATTTAATAACAAACTGAGAAATGTATCCAAAAACCAAAAAAAAAAAAATGGATTCATCTACTTCTACCGATTTTGATGTGCCAACCATCATTGGGACCTCCAATAACCATCGGGTTTTTTTCCCAGTGGTGTTGTGACCTAACCTAGCCTCGGAAAGTAAGAATCCTTCCTAATGAATTAAATTGTTAGGTGGGGATCGTCACCAAAACCTCTACGTGTATGGCAACAGCATAATTGAAAATGAAGGAAAAAAAGTATGAAGTGTTTTTTTTTTATTTTAAATATAATTTAAAAGAAACTTAGCTCCGCAAGCCAGGGTGTATTTTTTTCATAATGGATGGCACGCAGGAGGGACGCGATCTAAGAAATTATGGAAAATGCTATAAAGAACTATAAGTACTGAAACTTCAACGTCGGAATCAACGTCGTTTTCATTTTTTGGTCAGTTCGTCTGTTCTCTGTTCTCACTTGTCTGTTCTCTGTTCTCTGTCGACGCTTTATAAAAACGCGAATAACCTCCGAACGGATCTAGTCACACCGACGAAATTTGGCTCCTTTTAAGCAGCTTGCCAGGCACATAAGTTTATAAGAAATGACCGCGATCAATGTGTCAAAGTCGCGAGGAGAATTAATGGAAATCATGTTGGAGATCTGCCATTAAAAACGTAAACTGCAGGATTACCGCGAGAAAATATTTACGCCCGTTTCCGCGCGCCAATTGTTTCCGTCTCTTTGCGGTCAGGTATATTGAGGAACAGTATAAAATCGATCCCCCAGTTGGAGAACTCCGGTAGGTCGGTTTCTTACACCGAAGCCGTTCAATACTCGACCACGGACTCGATTAACGGAACATTAATCGCTACAGCGCAAGGTGGCCCACCGATTCAGATCCAGAATCCGCCGCAGAACCAATTCGGGAATAACATACAAAGTAATATAAATGTGGGTTAGTCGCTTCATAGAATACGTGTTGGTGATTGGTTTTTTCTTTAATTGTTGGCGTGCTTTGTGTCTTACCTTTCCGAAAAATATTCAAAATATTCTATATGTACAGGAGCATCGCATTTAGTAAGTCCGAATATACGACGCCATCTTGTTTTTGAACAAATCCCGGTATATTGTTCTGTCTTTGAACATATCTTGGCATTGTGATATTAGGTTATTACAGTATAAACTGTGATAACGATGTCCCTGTATATTTTTTGTGTTAATTTGTACCACCAAAAATAATTTAATAAAATACAGATGCGCTGAAAGGTGACCAAAACATAACATATAGGTGTTAGTTTAATGGGGCAAATTTTTGAAGAATAAGTGAAAAGTTCTGAAGCACAAGCCAGAATTTCTGACATGATTGGGAATTTCTGGAAAACCAGTCATAAATTCTGAGTTAAGTCAGAATTTCTGAAATATTTTTCAGACTTTCTAGAAAAAATCATAATTTCTTATCTAAATCAATATTTCTGACATAAGTCTGTCGTAAGGGACATTGCGAATCGAAACGGGACTTATTAAGGACAGTGTTAATGTCAAAAATTCATACTTATTTTCTAGAAATTCTGACTTAGTTTTCCGTAATTCTGACTTTTCTCAGCAATTCTTACCTATTTTCCAGAAGTTATGTCTTATTTGTCAGAAATTTTGACTTATTTTTCAGAAATTCAGACTTCACTCAGTAATTTTCATTTATTTTCCAGAAATTCTTACCTATTTTCCGAAAACTTTGTCTTATTTGTCAGAAAATCTGACATGTTTTAGCAAAAATTCTGAGTTCTGATTTGACTCAAATGCTATTGCTTTTTATTTTCGAGAAATTCTTACTTGTTCTCCAGAAATTCTGACTTTACTCAAAAATTCTTAGCTATTGTCCATAAATTCTGTCTTATTTGTCAGAAATTTTGACTTATTCTTCAGTAATTCTGACTTGAATCAGAAATTGTCATTTATTTTCCAAAAACTCCGACTTCGTTTTCAGAAATTCTGACTACTCAGAAATTCTTACCTATTTTGCAGAAATTATGTTTTATATTTTACTTAGATATTCTAATGTATTTTCCAGAAATTCCGACTTGCCAATTCTTACCGATTTTCTAGAAATTTTGTCGTGTTTGTCAAAAATTTTGACCCATTTTTCAGAAATTCTTATTTATTTTTTAGAAATTATGAGTTAGTTTTCAGATATTCTGACTTTGCGCAGAAATTTTTACTTATTTTCCAGAAACTTTATCTAGTCAGAAATTATGACTTTACTCAAAAATTGTTAACAATTTTCCAGTAATTGTGACTTGTTTTTCAGAAATTCTGACTATTCAGAAATTCTCATTTATTTTCCAGAAATTCTGACTTGGTTTTCAGAAGTTCTGACTTTACTCAGAAATTCTTTCGTATTTTCCAGAAATTGTGACTTGTTTTTCAGAAATCCTGACTTTACTCAGAAATTCTCATTTATTTTCCAGAAATTCTGACTTTACTCAGAAATTCTTGCCTATTTTCCAGAAACTTTGTCTTTCCAGATATTCTGACTTATTTTTTCGGAAATTCTGACTTGTTTTTTTTTCCGCAATTCTGATTTTACTCTCGCATATTTTCCAGAAATTTTAATTTGTTTTTCAGAAATTCTGTCCTATTTATCAGAAATTCCGACTTATTTTTCAGGAATGCCAGCTTTACTCAGTTATTCTAATTTATTATTATTTTGAATATATCACCCTATGCATTATTGCTAATTGCTAAATTAAAAATAGATCTTTCACGTGGGAAATGTAAAAATTTTCCGGGACTGTAATACAATCTTTTGTTTTTTGGTGGTACAAATTTCATCACTATGTTCGATTTTTCTTTGCATTAATTACGTAGTGTGTTACTACCAATTTAATATTAGTTCAATTTGGGTGTTAAACGCTACACGGAAAAATGTTTGTTTGTTAAATTTTGCCAATTAGTAAACAATCGTTTTTTCGCTTATTTCGCTAATGTAAAATGTAGATAAAATTGTTAACGCAGCCTTGCAAAAAAAAAACAATATTAAACATTATTTTCGTCCCATTTACGAAAATTGTATTTTTAAACTACCCAAACTGTAGATTGTTTTCGTGCATGCTAGTCGGGTTTGGCTCCATATGTACATACCGGGTGTTGAAAAAGTTTGGAAAACTTATAACCCCCCCCCCCCCCCCAATATTTTTTATTGACGGGGCGCTGTAGTCGAAAAAAAGAACCAATTAAAATACAGTCGAAACTCTATATAGCGAAATTGAAGGGACTGCTTTTTTTCCTTTATAAAGAGTTATAGGCACTTGAAAAATAACAATACGCACATGTGTTCTGTAATAATACATTTTTTAACATCTACTTAGGAAAATTTTATATAAATATTTCAGAACCACATTTAATGTTTCAGACAATCGGTCATTTTTATTGATACATAAAAAAATTCTTTAGCAGCTTAACTTGTTGAATGGTTAGTGGTGGTCCCAGATCAACTTCTTCATCTTCTTCTTCCTCTTGGTGCTCTTCCTCGCCCTTTCTTGCTTGTTGTAATATGACTTCCTTTGTCAAGTCTGCTGTTGTAGGCAAATCCTGATCTATCGCCATAAAATCTTGCAACTTCTCACTTGTAAACGTAGCCGTGGATACAGTCGACGGTGTAAGTCCGTATCGACGTCCCACATCACTTTTCTTTTCTCCCCGTCCTGTTCCCCGAATTAAAGCAACTTTATCATCTAGAGATATATTTTTTTACTAGGGTAAGGAATTCTGAGACGCTAAGAGACTATTAATTACAAGTCGACCTACACTCCTTAATTTGTTACTTGATGTGCTCGGTATAGGGAGTGAGAAATTCGTTATACAGAGTGGATTAATACATAGCTTTGTATGGAGACCTAATAGTACAAAAATTTTTATTTGTAATACAGAGTTTTAGGTTATACAGAGTTTCGCTAAAGGGAGTTTTCACCGTACCTTATACCCCCATCAAGCTTTGGCGCTTAACTTCAAAACGCCAGCTTCATTAATATTTTACGACGAAGGCGCATGTATTTCTTGACAAGACGTTTTCTTTTGCGATTACCGTGCCACCTACAGAAAATCTAATCAAAAACTTAGCTTTGGTGGCGTAGAATCCGTATTTATAATAAAAAACAGCGTTTTGAACACCCGGTATATATTTTTTGCTCATCGCTACACGATCTCGTAAATTTCAGGTCTGACGTCGGTGAAAAAAGGGTTTTCCAGTTTAATGTCGTCGATAGATAGTGCTCTGAAATCGAGCCCGGACGACATGTCGGATACCCTGTCGATCCGTAGCGACGCGTCTAGCGATTCCGAGCAAATCGTCATGGTTAATTACGAGGAAGACGTCAGGGGCATCGACTGGATGTTTTACATCGACGAAATGGTGGAGTACGAGAAGGCCGAAGAGGCGGCCGAGGTTATAGAGGACGAGAGCGTTATGACGTCACCCAGCGACCACAGCTTGACCAGCAGCTGCAGAAGAAAAGACCTGGTGAGCTTCTGACATCTGAGGCCCTTGCCCTTCAACAATTTGCCTTTCGCTTAGCTGCGCCCCCTTCAAACTGCATATACGCGGATACAGGATTCTGGATTCTTCCCAGGAGATTTGTAAATAGTTAAGACGTTTATTTTTATCGTTTTATTTACCACCGCCCGGTTATTTTGAACAACAACAATAAATTTAATCGTTTAAACTGTTTAATTGCGGATTACACTCGCGCAGAAGTTATTGCTTTCTTAAAAACGAAAATATGTGCCCACTTTTACCGTTAAAACGATCCCGACATTGTCGAGTCGGCAGTGTGAGTAGTCGGCGACATCGTTTACCGTTTTGTAGGTGTGCGTGTCGACTTTCAAATTAAACAAAGTGGAATTTTTACAACAATCTTGCGGCTACTCTTCGTCCATCAAAGTCCAAGTCGGTAACGTTGCCAGCGAAGATTGCACCAGCATTCCCTGGGACGAATTTCAAGTGAGTAGATCGTCCGCTATTCATTTTAATTGAGCTGGATGTTTTCAATATATATATATACACACACACACACACACACACACACACAAACACGCACACACAAACACGCACAGATATATGAGCGCATAGCTACTAACGTATGAGTCATCACGTTAAGGCAGCATTCGTTTCCTACGCGATCCAAATTTGAAGTTCTGGAGGCACTTACTAGTTAACTAAAATTAACCATTCAAAAGCGACATCTGCCTCAGGTTGATCAGAGAGTTTGATGTCTTGTCAATTTTTACCGCATTCCATGCGCAGAGGGCGCTGCTAGGAGTTTTTAACATCGCTCTTAGTCACACACACCTCAAAATGAATAAGATTAGGACATTTTCCACCGATTTCCTTTCGTTACTTCTGTCTCCAGCTACCAAAGACTTTGGGTAGCTCTGTCGTTTCTGTGCCTTATTGTAGAGGTTGTGTCCACATACATTCACACACACACATATAAAAATACTTTTTCAGGTTCTCTTTATCACATTTGATGTTATGTCTTTTTTTTACTCTTTTGCATGTCTCTGAATTGCTGTTTGTATCACAGGCCGCCACGAAGGTATTTGACGTAAAATATTTACGCTTTTAGATTGTTTAGATGCTTTAGATGTGCGTCGGATCATTGCTTGAATATATACAGTAGCGAGCAAAATTCTAAGCACAGTGACATTAAAAAAGTTCAGTGTAATAACGGTTTCGTTATGACAAATTATAGATATTTTATACAAAAATCTTCTGCTTGCTGACGGTTCTCCAGTCATGCTGTTGGCTTCTTCAGAACTTAACCGAAGCAGGCTCGCGTTCTACTCTATACCTGCTTATATACGGTTCGAGGGGGGCGGAGCTAATCGGAGACATGAATATTTATCAACTCTCTTGTTTGTAGAGCCATAAAACTAATCAACCCTTGAACAATATGACTTTCGTTTAGCTCCGCCCCCCTCAAACCATATATAAGCAGGTACAAAGTGTGTCAAGAAAAAAACTTACTAATAGAATAAAACCGGTTTAAAGTGTGTATGTGTGTGCGATTGCTTCCCCCACTTTCTCATAATTTATTTCGACTGGTCATTTCATGACGCTGGATTATTTTTTCTTAAATACCTTTTTTTTTCGCTCATTATTTTATTAACAAAAGCCCCTTTTTTAGTCAAAACCTATTTGAGTGAATGTGCCTAAACTTTTGCTGTTAAAAGTGCTTGCATTTGTTTAATAATATAATTTGTAGTAATTTAGTAGTTTTCGGAAAAATGTTGTTTGTTTTGTTGTTAAATCATCGTAATAATGAACTTTCCTATTCCATCATTTTGCACAGTATGCTCTCAAGTCATTCATTTTATGTAGTAGATTTAGACGCTGATTACAATTAACAATTTATTGCGTAATGCTAGTAAAATATTTCATTTTCGGAAATAATAACGAGGTCGATATAAAAATTTGACGAATAAATGTTCCGTTGATTGGTTTAGCTCCCGTCCCAAAAATTTCGAAATGAATTTACCCCTGAAATAATATCCTTTCAAAGCCGCTCCATTTTTTTTTCCTAAATCTGCTCACTTTTTTAACAGGATTTTTTTAATGCGAAACGAAAAAATATTGTGGTCACGATTTTTCCACCAAAACTAACGCTTTTCTCTGTTCTTCGTGGAATTTGTGCATAAACATTCAAAAAATTAAAGGAGACAGAAATGAAGGTTAACTAATCAAAACTAATGCTTTTCTCTGTCTTCTATGGAATTTGTCGTTTCGTACACATTCAAAAAACGAGCGAACTAGAAAAAAAAATGAAGGTCAACTAACAAAATCTATTACCGTTCTGTGTCCTCCATTGAAATTGTCGTTTCATAAACATTGAAAAAATTGAACGAAGGAGAAAAAAATGATGGTCAACTAACCAAAACTAATGCTTTTCTCTGCCCTCCATTGAATTTCTTCATAAACATGAAAAAAAATTAATGAATGAGAAAAAATGAAGGTCAACTAACCAAAACTAATAACCTTCTGTGACCTCCATTGAATTGGTCGTTTCATAAACATTCAAAAAATTGAACGAAGGAGCAAGAAAATGAAGGTTTTCTCTGCCCTCCATTGAATTTCTTCATAGACTCGAAAAAAATTGAACAAAGAAAAAAAAGCAAATGTCAACTAACCGAAGCTAATGGCTTTGTGAGTCTTCTATGGAGTTTGTCGTTTCATAAACATTGAAAAAATTAAACGAAGGAGAAAAAATGAAGGTCAACTAACCAAAGCTAATACCGTTCTGTGTCCATTGAATTGGTGGTTTTATACACATTTAAAAAAACGAAGGAGAAAAAAATGAAGGGCAACTAAAAAAAAACTAATGAATGAATTGCTTCATAAAGACGAAAAAAAATTAACTAACCAAAACTAATGCCTTTCTGTGTCCTCTATTTGTCGTTTCGTAACTATTCAAAAAGTTGAACGAACTATAGAAAAAATGAAGGTTAACTCGCCAAATGTAATACCATTCTGTGCCCTCCATTGAATTTGTCGTTTCAGAAACATTGAAAAAATTGAACGAAGGAGAAAAAAATGAAGGGCAACTAGCCAAAACTAATAAATGACTATCTTCATAAACATGAAAAAAATTGAACTAACCAAAACTAATGCCTTTTTGTGTCCTCCATTTGTCGCTCGTCGTTTCGTAAACATTCAAAAAATTGAACGATCTAGAAAAAAATAAAGGCCACCCAAAGTCCTTTAGAAAAGCAAATTAAATGTTTCGCAAATAGGTGTTGCTGGATGCGAATGCACGGTAGCCTCTTATAAGTAAGTATTGAGGAACAATTCTATTTCCGCGTAAATAATGAATAACGATAACAAATTAATTGACCCTCCGGTGCGGCGGGTAAAATCCATCTAACCGCGGAGATAATTTTTACCCAGGGCAAATTTAGCACGAGATCGCGCGGCTGGACCGACAATCCCGAAAACACGTGCTCCACCGCAAAAGTGAAGCTCCGCTTCGACCACACCTTGACGTTGGAAGACCCGAGGACGTTGCCGGACCACGATCTCACCAAGAGGGAGGTCATGGCGCGAGTGTTCGAAGACATGGTGGCTATCGAAGTCCGAGATCTGATTTTGAGTTTGAACATGAGCACCGTCACGGGACTGGCGGACCTCAGCGAAGACGAGATCATTCCCGTTCCGCTTCCGCTGCAGCTGCTGGTGCAAAACCTCCAGCTGCGTCTCGTGGAAGACAGGCCGCCGGTGAACATAACCTCACCGGGTTCCGTTCCGATCGATTTGGACGTCGACGTCGTCCACATCACTCGCGGAAAAGACGGAGTTTTCCACGTATCCGGCGGAGAAGCAGGTTGGGTCTTTTTTCACAACTAATGTCGCGATTTACAACGTTTATCTCTCTTTTTTTTTTTTTCAAAGAAACTTCCACAGGCTGCTGTAATACTTTTTACGAAACTTCTATTGGCTTCTTCAGAGCTTGACTGAAACTGACTCGCATTTTACTCTGTACCTGCTGATATATTGAGAAGAATGAAATAATAAAGGCCGCAAAGAAAATGACCGATGGAATTCCTTCTTTTTTAGTAAAAGATTGTATTAGCGTCTTTTCGAATCCTTTACTTAAAATATTTAACCTCCAAAGTTTATCCGCGATGTTGGAAGGAATCCAGGCCCTGTCCAATTTTTAAAAGTGGAGAAAGAAATCACGTAACCAGCTATAGGCTTATCACAATCTTATGCAATTTTTCTAAAATACTTGAGGTCATTCTGTATGACCGTATTTTTAACTGTCTGAAACAGTTCACTCCGGCTTAGTTTTCCCGTTTCATTTTTTATCTTATCCAATTGCAGCGAGGCGCAACGGTGAAACGGAGGACGCGAAGGTGACGCAGCTGCTCGACGATAACGAAGAACTGAAAAGGAGGCTGCTCGCGTTCGAAAGGATCTCGGAGGAGAACAGGGGCTTGAGGAAAGCCCAGGAAGAAACTGACGTGCTCAGAGGTTTCCTCAAATCCTCTCAAGACGAGGTAAGACAGAGGAAAATACGGTAAAAAATGTATTAGGCGAAAAAGAAATCATTTGCGATTAGAAATTTTTATTTTGAAAAAAATATGTAAAATTTATATAATTATTATAATCTTTAATTTGGATTTTTTTTTAAAATTTAGATTGTTTATGCCACATATACAGTGTGTTTCTTAATTGAATGTCAATAATGTAAGGGGGCGACTTTTGCGTCCATTTTAAAAAGAAAACTTGCATTTCTTACTTAAGTAATTGTCTATCTACACGTACACCTAAATAAATAAAATAAATTTAAATAATTTATTTATCTTGTTGTTGGGATGTTATGTTATTTCATTAAAAAAGTAAAAGTAAAAAGAAGAGTCTTCTAACTTTTTTTTTCTGAAGGACACTAAAACATTTTGTTTTAGATTGATATTTTATTTTTCACAAATAAAAAGCCTGTGCAGTGGAGATCTAATTCACCAAAATATTATTTGTTCACTGATTTCCAAAAAGAAAAAATAACATTTGCATTCCTTTATGAGCAGATAATTTTTTTTAAACTGCCGCACGGTTTTCACTAAAAAATAAAAACGAATTTCTCTGCAGAGAAGAGGCGCTTAATTTTTTTTAATTAAAAAAAAAGTTTTCGTGTTAAAAAAGACTGAAAAATCAAATCAAATTATTAGCGTTCAGTTAGAAAACACCCTATATTAAAATTTAAAAAATAATAATTTTCTGAAAAAGGAACCCCAAAAAAAACAATTCAAATAATAAATAAATAGTACGTTTACACCGTAACTGGCGTTTTGACTCGCTTGGCCGTTATCAAATATCGGGTGTTATCATTTATTCTGCAATTATTAATTAGGTTTTGGTCAAGTGGATTAGAAATTCGAAGAAGCAAAACGCAGTTCGATACGCTATCTTTTTCTTCCTAGACCCTGGATTACGATGAATTTCAGACGATGCCAATGTAATTTATATTTAAACTGATTAAAATATTATTATTCACTTTTTAATGGTTTTTACCACTTAGTACTTAAATACGGCCACAGTTAAGTAAGTACCCAAATCCAATTTTTTTTGGAGGTCATTTTTTTTCCTTCATATTTTAGGCTAGGATAAACACATTTCAGAAACTCCAAAATATTTTTTTATATCTCAAGCCACTTAAACTTTGTATCTCATAATACGTCAACAGTTAAGCCCCTAAATTCAACTTTTTTAGCTTTAAATTCTTTTTTTCTCTCCCTCTTTTTAGGTTATAATAAAGATATTTCAGAAAATTGAAAATAATTTTTAATAAGTAAAGCCCCAAATCCAAGTTTTTTTAGCGTAAAATTCTTTTTTTTTCTCAATTTAAGTTAGAATAAAAATTTTTCAGAAATTCCAATATAATTTGTTACATTTCATACTACATAAAATCTTATATCTCATAAATACGTCAACAGTCAAGCCCCCAAATTCAACTTTTTTAGCTTCAAATTCTTTTTTTTTCTCGTTTTAGGTTAGGACAAAAATATTTCAAAAACTTCAAAATATTTTTTTATATCTCATACTTCTTACATATGTCAATAGATAAGTAAAGTCTTTTTTTTCTCAATTTTAGGTTAGGATAAAAATATTTCAGAAATTCCAAAATAATTTTTTATATCTCATACTAAAACCTTATATCTCAGACTACTTAAATACGTCATCAGTTAAGCCCCTAAATTCAACTTTTTTCGCTTTAATTTTTTTTTTCTCTCTTTTTAGGTTATACAAAAGATATTTCAGAATATTTATATATATATACTTCTTAAATACGTGAGTAAAGTCCCTAAATCCATTTTTTTAGCGTTAAATTTGTTTCAACTTTTTTAGCTTTAAATTCTTTTTTTTTTTTCTCTTTTTAGGTTAGGATAAAGATATTTCAGAAACTTGAAACTTGAAAACTTGAAGTCCAATTTTTTTTTAGCGTTAAGTTCTTTTTTTTTTCAATTTTAGGATAGGATAAAAATATTTCAGAAATTTCAAAATACTTTTGTATATCTCATAGTACTTAAACCTTATATCTAACACTACTTAAATACGGCAACAGTTAAGCCCCTAAATTCAACTTTTTTAGCTTAAAATTCTTTTTCCTCTTTTTAGGTTAGGATAAAAATAATTCAGACACTTCAAAATATTTTTTTATATCTCATACTTATTAAATGTTTCCCCAAATCCAACTTTTTTTTCGCGTGAAATTCTTCTCACATTTTAGGTAAGGATAAAGATATTTCGGAAAATTTTATCGATGTTTTTAATTCTGGGAATATACGACCATTGGTGGAATTGTTTCACACCCCTAACGATTGACCTATTTTTTGCGTATGCAGGTTTCTAGACTTTTGGACGAAAAGAGGAAGCTTCTGGACGAAATCGGGGCGCTTCAAAGTCAGCTCGCTAACACCACCAGATGGCAGTGGAATTCGAAAAGCTAGCAATGTTGCTTCGACTGTACTAAGTGCTGTAGCAATGATAACCGTTCTCAGTAGTTAGACAGTCCCGAAATGACTGTTGGGTTTCTGCTAAAATTGTATGTTTTGTTTCTAAGCTAAAACGGTATGCATTTTAGTTAAGACTTATTTTTTTTAAACTGAAGGTTATTAAGATGACTTTTTGCATACTGTTTTAAGTTAGTTAAAGGTACTCAGCTATGAATAGGTGTTTCTAAGTGTATATTGTGATAAATGATGGACTTATCAAAGGGAAAAATATTACGTTATCGTTTTCCTCAACAATGCTGCAAATATAAAAAAAACGAACATTCTTAAAATTTAATTTCTAGTCGTATTTATTTTTTGTTTAAACTGCAATATGTGTTGCTACTATGTAAGCAAACAATTATCCTTTTCGAGACATTCACTACAAAAAAATCAATAACCGTATAAAGAAAAATTTGCTTGAAGCATTGCATAGTGTTGTGATAAAAAAAATGTGACTCACCTACATTTTATCGGATTTTTTTTGTGTAATTTCGTCACTCGAAACGCTCGATATTTTCTTGTTTCTAGCGAATGAAAGATTTTATTACGTTGTTAAGCCAAGTATGTCCAATAAAATACCATTACCACTTTGGATATTTTATTTCCTTCTGCCGGAGTTGTGAAAAAATACGCCGCCGTTTACTCGGGTGAAAATTTTTATTACGTACAATCTCGCGTGCCGAATAAATAAAAAAAAATCCCCTTATCTACTTGCTTTCAGTCGTCTCGGTTGTAGGAGAAGTCCCCCCCGCCTCATAGGACGATTTATTTTTGAGTAGGAATTCGGCGAGTGCATTGATCGGTTCGGGGGGGCGTTCCTTAGCCAGATAGGAAAGGGCCCCCATAAGGATCGGCACCACGGTTTGGTCCAGATATTGTCTTGTGGGTAAACTGCTCAAGTCGACACGGCTTTTTTTCGTGTTTTCTTGCGCCTCCATTTTTAATTCACCTGAAACGGTGGCTCAAGTTATGTAATGAATGCACAATACGAAACGAGGTGTTGCGGCAAAGCGCCTAACAGAAACATCAAAAGAAATCCAAACCTGAATTGAAATGTATCTTCCAAACGAACGTTCTTTATCCGTAACTCCGACGAACCTAAAATGGCAGTGCCGCTTGTTTGTTTAACTTTAAGTGCGCTATAAAAATGTTAATGTCCTGAAATTGCTTTCGATCTATCAATCAAATTCAAAACAAAAACAAAACGTGTTTATTTGAACTACCGCACGGAGATACGTAGCCGGCGTTTCTGCCGGGGCAAATGTATTTAGGCCATTCGCTCAAAAAATTTAACTGTCATCCGCGTTAAAATTTTACCCAAGTTTTCCAAGACGTTTGCGAGATAAAAAAAAATATGGCAGATTTTTAATGGTTGCGTTTTATTTAGTTATTCCAATAACGCAAACAGCAATGGCAATTTTATATGCGAGAACAATATGTTTATCTTAGAAACATCAAACGTTTCAAAATATAACAGTAATAGATAGGCATGTGACAACAAACAAAGACAGGATGCTTTTTTGCGGTTTGGCTTATTTTTTTTTATCAAAATGCGGTGTTCAGTGGAAGGCCCAACTAATTTAAAAACTTTATTTTAAATACTTTTTCCAAAAATCTTAGTTTGATAAATGCTGATAAGTTTGATTTTTACATTAACCTATAAACAAGAATTCCGCTCTAATTCAAAATTTTAGCTCTGCGTGACGTCATGCGCGCGACGGACTAATTTAAATCGGCGATCCGTCATATCTTTGTTGGATCGTGAACGACAGAAATTATACTGTGACAGATAAACGAAAATCAGATTCTTAATGCTAACATAGTCCATCAATTCCCAAAACTGAGGAATTCGAGGCAAAATGAACGCAAGCTATAAAATGATCATTGAATATTTGGCAACAGGGAACTAAAAATGCCACCAAGAATGAGGGCTGGGTGAACGTATAAATACGGCCATATCTACTAGATACGTGAAGTACCAGGAAAAATCGTTCTTTTTTTTTGGTTCCAGCTTCATTAAACGCAAGCGGCGTATTAATATTTCTGTTATTAATGAATAATTATCGCGGACGTCGCGCGTTTTGTTCTGTGGCTCTGCGCGGATCGACTTTCACATCCGATCCGTGCTTGCGTCACTCGACCGCAATTTATCGATTTTTTCCATGGTTACCGAAAGATTCGAGGGTGGCTATTTTGTGTTTGTGACATGTACTCCTAATCAGAATAATTCGAATAATGAAAGTGACCGTTAAACGTAAGCCCGCGACGCCCGGCACGAAACGATCAACTCTAATCGTGCCCTGTTTTAAGAGTGGACTGGGGTGGCTTCTTGGAAATGGATAGCGAATGACGACAACTGCGGAATCTGTCGCATGCCGTTCGACGGTTGCTGTCCCGACTGCAAACTGCCGGGAGACGATTGCCCTTTGGTTTGGGGTCAGTGTTCGCACTGTTTCCACATGCACTGCATCGTCAAGTGGCTACAATCGCAACCGGTCAACCAGCAGTGTCCCATGTGCAGACAGGAGTGGAAATTTAACAACAAATAAAATGTAAATCGAAACCGCAAGTATACGCAACTATTTCTCTCAAAGTAAGAACCGTTAAACGGCATTTCACGTTTCGGTCGCGGGTAAGTTTTTGCGAGAGACACGCGCGGCCTCGCGTGACGCTCGCAATGCGAAAATCTACCTGGCGCACTTTCCACAACAAACTCGCCCCACCCCCACCCGAACACCTGTCGATTGCTCCGCGTAGCTCGATCACCTTCGCGTTAGTCGTTCGCCTACTTTGATCGGTTCGCGGTTCCGTGGTCTGTGTCGAGCGCCCCGCACACTTGATCTTAAATATAGAAAACGTCGTTCCCTGGGCGGTATTTTCCGTGAATCATACGAGTGAAGTGACATGTGAGTTGTTCGCGAGGAAGAAAACAAAACGCCGGAAATGATTATGATGCGTCCGAACAACGTGGCGCCGCAAAAAATCAACAAGCCGCCGCCGCCCGTGCCCCCTAGACCGAACAAAAGTTTGGTCCAGGAGGCGCTGGCCAAGACGCGGCACACTTTGGTGCCGCCGAACAGGTAAATATGACGTAAAGCGTGTGACGTTTTGTTTTTACCATAACGGGGGCGCTCTGCATACAGTGCGGCATCTTCATTTAGCGTTTTACTACATAAAAATACAACCTTGAAATTTTTGAATATAAATATGAACACACTGCTGTTTAATTTAATTTAATTTAAAAAATTAAGTACTTTTCGAATTCAGTATTCAATATATCTGTTATATCGCAGTTTATTTCTCATGGCCCTGTTTTGAGCAATATATATTATTATTATTATAAATGTGTGCCAAAAAAAAAGTTTCCTAAAAAAGTTTCTTGGACTGTCCTGAAGATTTAAAATATTATAATTTTTTTGATACGGGGTGTCCCAAACGTGAGTCCCCCGGCATCAAGTTTATTATTTTAAATTTAACACCCTGTATATTTCCTCATTTTTGGGGGCAGAAACAAATAACTAAAAAAAAACTTAAATATGGTGATATATGTTCAATATATAATTATATTTTGTAAATTTATTCTTCAAAATATATCACTTGATGATAACATGAACCTTATGTTTCAGCAACATAGCCCGCCCTCTATCTTGCTGAAATATAAAGCTGTTTACTTCTGACATTATTGTATTTTGAAGCAAAATTAAAAAACTGTGTCCTGTTAAATACTTAAAAAAAATGAGGCCAACAATTTTATCCCTTATAATATCGTACCACACTTTAACACTTCGGTGGCCCTGCAAATTTTTTTTTTTCATTAAAAATCTATTCTCTGTTGAATAATAGGGGCATTTTTTTTATTGTACATGCCAGACGTCGTAAAAGTCGCCTCATCGGTCCCTCTGGCATCAAAATCACGGTCGGATTGAATTGGTAAACAATTGTGAGATTTTATTTTGTTGCCTTTTATAAATACTGTTGAAATAGTATTTTCGGGAAATTCAATGAAGTATAATAAAAACGTCCAACCCAGTTTTTTGTATATTTGAGAACACCGTGATTTGACAGGTCCTGGATAATTCTATTAAATATTGTTTTTGTTGGTATTTTAGCCCCCCCCCCCCCCCCCCCGGAAACTTTCTTTGATATTCCCTTAATGCTAAGGCTGCACTTTTACCATTGGTCAGGTAGCATTCATACAAGTTTAGCCGTTCCTGAGCGGAATATTGGGGCATTGTTAGCGAAAAAATTTAACTTATTTAAAATACAAATAAAATATATACTAACAAAAAAAAAACAGAAATGTCAAATGCGTCAAAAAAAATTGGGATGTCATAGCCAGCTACCTTTTTTTAAATATTTTGATATTTCTTTGTTATTTTGATGCCAGATGAGACGAGCATTTTAAGAGGAACATTTTTAACTTTCATTTGTTGTTTTAACTAAACAATTGTCATGTGAAAATATATAATTTCGTGAAAATCTACACTTTTAGTTCTTATTTATTTTGATAAATGGATTTTCATCAAGTAAAAGCCACCTCAGTTCAAGCGTAGTGCATCATCTCCCTAGTCTGTGGTTAAATTTTCGTTGCAATACTTAGATCAGTAGCGTCACAACACAATTTTATATGGGGCAATCAAAATATGAAAAAAAACACACATCAATTTGTGCCTTGTTACTGCGCTTGTAATGGGACACTCAACGTGAATCAGCTTATTGTAGTTTGTGTGTGACGGATAGATGAGAATTAATTAAAGGTCGTGACCGTTGGGTAAAAACAAAACGGGTAGGGGACCAACGTTTTTCTAGCATTTTTTTGAAACGATCCGTCAATACTTCAAAGATATCCCACAATGTAAATATTACCACTGAATGGTTAATTGATCGTCGGCATTCGATTTATTTGGCGAAATAATAAAAATTAAACGCTTACCGAAAAATTGATAGGAGTCAGTTAGTTTCACGGAATTTGTCGCGATTTTCGAGCACATTTCTTTAAATAAACTATTTTTAAGTAATACACGAAGCAAAACTTTCTAAAATACCACTATGTGATTAAATGACAATTTTCTAACTAATCGATTTTGTGTTTATCCATTATCAACGCTGAATATTGGCAACGTTCCCACTTTTTGAAAAGGGATTTTGTTCTGTGTTATTTTGGTTCAAAATGTGAAATTTCATGGTTTTGTGAAACCTTTGCACTTTGACCTTTTGTTCGAAATATCTTGTTTACATAATTCTTTTTTGAGAAGGTATTAAATTGATAAAAATTAATAATATATTTTTTTTCAAAAATATGTTTCTTCGTTTCTTTTTCTCTCTTCAACGTTAACAATGTAATTTTATTCATAGAAAAATAAAAAAAAAGAGTGAGTTCCTTGAATTCAAAAAACGAACGCAGGATGTTGAATAATTTTTTATCGTTAAATCGTTACTTCCGTTATTAGTTATTATTATGAGTAAGATCACTTCAAGTGGGCCCCCCATTTACCACTTGATCATAAAAAAATATTCTATATATATTTTTTATAAGTACTTATGATGGAAAATTTATCCCCCAAACGATTTTTTTAAATTTTGATTTTAACATTTTTTTTATAATTAAAATTTTAAGCACTTTTAATTAAAAAATGGATTAAAAATCAACCGTAAGAGATAAATTTGTTTTATAAATTTAAGATTCCGGAAGAAAATTTCACTGCTCATCATTAGTTTAAACAAAATGAATTTATTTATGACAGAGCGCCGAGCACTATGGAAGCGCCGCTTTTCAAAAATTTCCCATATAAATAACAAAAATTTCACAGATTTATAAATAATTTTCCACATTGCGACGAATATCTTTTAGGTTATTCGAAAAATTTTTGAATTGCGTCATATTTTTTTGGTGGGAAACTGTCAAATTAACAAATTTTAATTTTCAGAAATCATAATTTTTCAAAACTGTATTTTTTTTTCTTTTTCTTCAACTTTAGATAATTTTATTCATAGAAAAAGATTGTTGAATAATTTTTTGCCCTTAAATCCTCCAGTTATAAGGCATTATTATTATTGGTGTTATGGAATTTTTTCAAATTAATTTGTTTATTATTTAAATATCATTTAGGTAAAGGAATGTGCTCGACTAACAAAGATTTTCCATATTTCACGGGCCCTATAAAGATTTCACAGATTTATAAATAATTTTCCAGATTTTGAATTATTTTATTTTTTTGTTTTTTTCTTCAACTTCAATCCCAGAGAAAATGTCGTTACGGCCTCGTTTGATTTCGTAAAAATTTGTGCTTAGTTATTAATTATTTTTTCTTCTGTTGGAATTTGTTTATTGCTTTGACCCAAAGGAAACTGCCCAAATCAAAAAGGTTTAGGATTAGTGTATCGTTTTGTATGATTTAGCCTTGGTATAAAAATCGAAAGACGTTGGTCGATCACCAAAAAAAAAAAAAAAAACACGTTATCCCACAGTCAATCGAAGCCGCCGAATCGGGCGGCCCCGCCGCCACCCCCGCCGGCGTCGCGGCGCCCCGTCGACAATCAGACGGGCGGCGTGAAAAAACAGGCGCCGCAGCCGCAGCAACCGCCTCCGGTTTGCGAGCGCGCCATATCGTTGAACAAGGTCAGCTCGCGTCCGGTGGTCTACCAATCGGATAACCTAAAAAAATCGAAAACGGCGGCGATACTGAAGAAGGTGGACAGTTTTAAGAACGAAATCGTGAAGAAAACGTCCAGCCTGAAGCGAGTCAACTCGAAACTGTCGGATAAGCCCGCCGTCGTCGTCACCGATGCGAAGGAGGAGCCGCCGGCGGCGGAAAAAGGTGAGTGCGCAGTGACGTCACACGCCAGTATACGAGTTTTGACCTTTAACCTTCGTCGTACCGCCGTCAAAATTTGTACTCCACTCTAATTTGAACGCTTTGTGATATTTTATGCCACTCGTAGATATACACTGTAACAACAAAATTAAATTGTTAATAATAATAATATAATCTTTATTTGGCAGTATGCTGCGCAAAAAATGCCAAATATAAATTGTAAATATAAAATATAAACTTCCAGATAAACGGAAACCAAAAGCTAAGCACGCAGAAATCACAATTTGGACAATGCGTGGCGTATAAAAAGTCTTAAATTTATTAAGAGTAGGTCTTTATGTAATATAAAGTTTTGTACATGACTAGAATGACATTCTTTCAACATAAAATTACCACAATTTTTTGTAATGTAAGAATGAATATCTCCGAAATAAAAAAAAAAATTGAAAAAAATTATAAATGGGAAGCAGCTAGGCTGTTATACAATAATATTTTGGTGTCAATTTTATATTTGTTAACTGTTAATATTTTACTTGCACTTTCTCTCGTATACCGACGATATTGCAATTTAGGTTAAACGATACATATCACTTGGCGTTAAAATGAACAATTAATAAACATTTGTCGAAGGTCTTGAAACGTCGAAGCGATAAACGCACCATATTTTTGGTCGTACTATACGTAGAGTGTTTTTCGTTTTGGTTTCAGGCGAACCGAAACGTAGCGACGCGGCAATCGTGGACGATCGTAACCACGTAAACACGCTCATCGACGAGATGTTCGCGTCGGTGCTGGACGTCGACAGAGGGCGCAACCGTATCGTGATATCGAACAAAACGGTCGGCGACGACGACGTTTCGTGCGAAAACCTGTCCACCGTGATCGTCATCAGCGACGACGACAACAAGAGCGCCTCGAGCGACGAGCGTAGAGTGAAATTCAACGATCGCCTGAATCACGAGCTGCTGATTAGCGAGTTGCGACGCATGAACGGCGTCGAAGACGCGACGCTAAAGAACGAAGAGAATATACACACCAACGATTGGTACGGGGTGAGCGACGAGGGCAAAGAGGTGAAAATGTCGAGCTGTCACATCACGATAGAGGACGCACGAAGCGCTCGCCATAAAGAAGAGGGATCGGGGTTGGATTTCGACAGGTAGGCGGGGCCGCGAATAGTGTATCCGATATTCGTAACCGTCTGGCGGCGTCGCCGTCGAAAACGGGGACGTTTTCGTTTTTCGTCTGTTCTCTGTTCCCCCGGCGTCTGTTCTCCGTTCTCTCGATAAAAACGTGAATAACGTCCGAACGGTTTAACCGAGGGGGATGAAATTGGGCTCCTATCGAGCAACCCTCGAGACGCACGAGCCTATGGAAAATGGCCGCCATCGTACAGCGGCGTTCATATTTTTTTAACGATTTTCTCTGTGCGGTAAGCTCGATAGGACATTTGAAGGTATCGCGTTAAAACGCATAGAATTAATTTCCTAACGGAAACTATCGAGCCTGGTTGGGGAAGACATAAAATATTTTCAAAAATTTAAAAACCACACGAAAATTGCGTAAATTATTCGCCGTAAATTAAAACTCGTGAAAAATTCGACCAATTGGTTTGAACTGTGTTATAGGCCACATCGAGGGCTACAATTTTTGTATTTGCGGTTTTCGTCTATCACGTACCCTGCTGGAGATATTTGAAAAGATCCAAATGGAAGTTGCTTTCAATCCAGACGCGACAACGTTATTTCATAGTGCTGTATAGTGTGAGAAAATAAATATTTGCTCGACATTGGTTTATTCTATTGGCACTAGCAAAAATAAGAAAACCGTCTCGCAAAATCAATGCAATTGAATTTTTCGAAAGTATATGTTATCGTTAACCAAACTCGTTTCTCGGAAACGGCGCGTTCGACATCGTCGCTATCGGTACAGGCGGGATCGGCGTCGAAAACGAGGACGTTTTCGTTTTTAGTCTGTTCTCTATTACCCCCGTTTCTGTTCTCTGTAGACGCTTAATGAAAACGCGAATATCTTTCGAACGGTTTAACCGAGGGGGACTGAAATTCGGCTCCCATCGAGGAGCCTACGAGACACACGAGCGTATGCAAAATGGCCGTGATCGTTTACCTGGAAACGTGGGAGATCCAGGGCTATTACATTTACAATGTTATTATTTGATATTGACACATTTTTCAATTCTTCTGGGAGTATCATTAGATAAGGCAATCCATACGTTTTTGCGTATCCATTTGCCATATCTTGTGCCCAGAGTACGATATGTCCTTTTTTTTTTTAATTAAAATAGACAAATGTAAAATGAAAAAAATAGTTGCGAGCAGGGTTCAAGGGAAAATATATAAACGCCTGACTGTGTGTGCATGCACGCATCCTATCCTATGGATTGAATATAGCACAAAATTATTTTTTGTTTTAAATATTATAATGTTTAAGGATTATTAAATATAAGTAACGATAATAGTTACCCACTATATCATAGTAATTCGTACTAAACACAGAATCAAATTGCTTTATTATTTCTTAGTTGATTAATTTGTAATACTTAATAATAATAGTTATAGTAATAAGCGTTAATTATAAATAGCAAACTCTCGACAAAAATTACAATGCAACAATTTGTTCTTGAATTCAACAAAATAATGCATTGGTCTAAATTAAAGAAAAAAAAAAATTTTCCATAATAAGTTATTTGAAACAAAAAAATCGTTCCGGTCATTAAACGCTTCAATGAAAATACGTACAAATTGTATCGTGTGGTCCGGGCTTTACATAAAGGCAAGGTCGTCCGATGTTTTTCCCTGTTATTTAACCTTTCCGTGTCGTGTATCCCGAGGCATTCTTCGCTCCTCAATTGCGAAATGCAACTCGAGATATACCGTAGTCGTATATAATATTATTCTCGTACCCTACATTCCTCACGATCCGAATCGGATGAGGTAACCCGACGTAAGAAAATTTATGCTGTTAACATTTCATTTAATGGGAATCGTCTCAACAGTTTTATTTTGCCATATGTAAGCCAGTTTTTGAAATTGCTTTCTGCGTAATAAATTTTTAAATTATTATTATTACAAAGAATAAAGTGCAGAGGAGCACCTATTATGTACATTGATAGTAAATAGCATGAGAATGTTATACATATAACAAATATTTAGTTATTACTGTCAAAAAATACGACGTTTAAATACAGACAGACTTGAAAATACAAATTTATGTATCGCTTTTTGTTAACTTTTGCGAAATTTGTTTCAGAATTCACCGCCAGAGTTTTATTTTCGATTGCCCGATCCAAAATAAAAATGATCGAAATCTACGAAACGTCAGTCAAACTCAAGTGACAACTTGAAGGTTTTTTAAAAGACGTTTTTTTTTTTGGTTCCTTGAAACCTTTTTAATTTTGAAAAAACAACCGGAACTGCCAAAACTGGGGATTTTGGAACACGCGAAAATCCTAACAGCGGTGTTGGCAGATTTTGCACTTTTACGTTACACCTCGTAATTTTCTTTTCCGACTTGACGTCGGGATGTGAAGGGCTTTGTAACAAAAATGGTTGCTATAAAAACGATCAGTTTTACGTTATAAATCCTTAATAAGCTGTAAACAGTGAATGCATATAGAATGTGCGAACTTATTTAACTAGGCTTCGCAAAATAAGTGGAATTGTACCATGCATACTGTATGTAATAAATCCCCACAGATTGCACAAGGAGCGAGTTGTAAGAGAAACAATACCAACAACAACCATTTTATTATACCCAACACATTGCCGAAATTGTTTAATGATGATAATAAAATTGTATTAATTTAATTATATGTTGTTGTTGTTTCATTTATTTTTATTTGTATTTAAACCCGTTTTATTTGCCTGTAATACATGTATTTAAATCAAACAAGCTATTGGTTGATATAATGAACTAAGCGAACCCTATTACTTTTTGTATGGTTTAAATAAATAATTATTTGCCATTAATAAAAATACCAAAAGAAATTAAACAAACCAATAAAAATATTCAAATAATTTTAAATATTTTTATTTGTATTTTAACCCGTTTTATTTGCTTTTAATAAATGTATTTAATCCAAACAAGCGATTGTTTGATGTAATGTACTAAGCGAACCCTATTACTTTTTATATGATTTAAATAAATAGTTATTTGCCATAAAAATACCAAAAAAAAACAAACCATTAAAAATATTCAAATAATAATTAGTTTATTGAAACAATTTTTTTTGTGGCTCGCTGTTTTATTTTTTTATTTCGACGCGTCACTTTCAAAATATTGTTATTATTTTATATATTTATTTTTATTTGTATTTCAACCCATTTTATTTGTTTTTGATAAATGTGTTTCAATCAAACAAGCCATTGTTTGATATAACGAACTAAGCGAACAATATTACTTTTTACAAATACCAAACAAATTAAACAAACCAATAAAAATGTTCAAATAACAATAATTTGAATGAAACAATTTTTTTTTGTTGGTCTCTATTTTATTTTATTATTATTATTTATTTATTTTTATTTGTATTTCCGCCCATTTTGTTTGTTTTTCATAAACGTATTTAAATCATGTTTGATATAACGAACTAAGCCAACCCTATTTATTTTTTATTCGGTTTAAATAAATAATTGTTTTGCAATAAATAAAAATACAAAAAAAAATCAAACGAACCAATGAAAATTTTCTAATAATAATTAGTTTGTTAAAATAATTTTTAGCTATTTCCTTTTTGAATTTTTTAAATTTCAATGCTTCACTTTCAGAATAACGCGTTGTATTTTTTTAAAAATTGTTTTTATATTTATTTTTATTTTATTTTATTTCCTTTTAATAAATCTATTCAAATCAAACAGGCGATAAATAACTAATTATTTGTCATAAATAAAAATACAAAAAAAATCAAGCAAACCAATGAAAATTTTCAAATTATAATTAGTTTATTGAAATAAATTTTTAGTTGTTCCCTATTTTATTTTATTTTTTAATATCAAGGCGTCACTTGAAGAATAACGCGTTGTATTTTAAAAAAAATTGTATTTATTTTTATTTTATTTTATTTGCTTTTAATAAATCTATCCAAATCAAACAAGCAATTGTTTGATATAACGAACTAAGCGAAGCTTATTATTTTTTTATTCGATTTAAATAACTAATTATTTCATAAATAAAAGTACAAAAAAAAAATCAAAAAAAACATTCAAAGTATTCAAAAAATAATTAGTTTTTTTGAAAAAAAATTTTTCTTGGTCCCTATTTTATTTTTTTATTTCGACGCGTCACTTTCAGAATAACAAAAATGTCCCACCTCCACGGCCTGCCCCCCCTCCCGAAATCGTTGTCGGGATTCAATTTTCTGGATCAGCGCCACCAGAGTCCCCCGACCCCCGTGCGGACAAGCTCTATGCGGTCGTCCAATCAGGGCCCCCAAATCACCCCTACCCATATAGGTGCCCAGCAAGGACACGGAAAAAAAATGACCAACCTGGACGCGCAGCTCGCCATTTTGAGGAGGGAGATGGTAAGAATCTTTTACCAAAAAAAATCGGAATATTTGAAATTTTTAAGGAGTAACGTAAATAAAAGTACATTTTGACATGTATAACTATCGAATATAACTTCCGGTTTTGCCGGAAGTGAGATTGATTTACTTACCCAGTATATTTTTCCGTTTTTTCATCTTTTTAATATATATGCATATACCGGGTGACAATGAAACTACTAACCAAGCGGTACAGGTGCCAAAGTATGGCTAGATTTTTACATGAAAAACAAACGAATAGTACTTCCGGTCCTAGATATTATTCCATTTTTGTATTACACAGATAAATCCAAGTGGCATTTACTCTTTATCTTTTTGCGATAGCTCTAATCGTTTTGAAGATAATAATAAAAAAATATTTATTTTTCCTTGGTCAAAAATTGTCGGAGTATTTTTTATAGAAACAAATTTGATAAAAATGAATAAAAAAACATACTTTCGATTTTACAGGAAGTATTACACTGAAAATTGGATATTGTAGCAGTTCATCGCATGAATATCCCCTTAAAAGTCCCACGGTCAAGCAGCGTTTTTACGTATCTCCAATACTTTTGAGGGATATTTGGGATTTTAATTTAAAAGTCACAGACATTGCTGAGCGGTCTTGGAAAATCGAAGTAGGGTAGAAGAAGAACAAGGAAAAGAAAAAAGTCGAAACTAAATTTGCACCGTATAACAAAAAATATTTGAAATATATTTTGTTTTATTTTACGGGTTATTTATTATGCTAAATTGAATGTGGAATAATAAAAACTACTGCAAAATACAATTTTCAGTGGTACTTCCGGTAATTTGTTTTTTTGATAAGACGAAAGATCGTGTTGATCTCATACTCACAATTTATTTCTTTCTTTCTTTCTTTTTGAATAATATTAAAATCCGACAACATACAGAGTGTTGACGCTGGCTAGGAATCGAGTCGCTTTTCTTTCGATTTCATAATAATCGGTCAATTTCCCACGGCTTGAGGCGAATTTTTTTTTAACATAACATGAACCGTCGACGGCAATTTAGAACCACAATTACTAAAAGAACTATTATTACTGACGGCGAAGACGTCTGTAATGGCCGCCATTTTTTGTCCGGACGAGCAAGAATCCAGGAACACGGCAATTTCATCGGAGTTCGATTTGCCTTGTTTTTTTAATTCTGAATTTATCCTGTTTACAAAAAGCATATTTATTTTTCGCGAGAATTATTATGGTAATTTATTTGCCTCCACCACTCGTCTAACTCTCGTAAAACACTACACAAACTTGCAAGATATTTAATAACATATATATTATAATTATTGAACAAAAATAAGTTAAATTTTTGATATTTGAATGGTCCTCAAGTTTTACGACTATCAAAATTGTTAAATGTTAGTTTTTTTACTGTTCCCCGTACCTCTTCGATTTTTAAGTATTTTTCAACAACGCCCAAATAAGTTTCAATGAAACTGGCAACTTTTGTTATATGTAACTATGTAAATTAATGAAAAAATTAAAATAAAATTAAAATGTTTAAGAACACTTGTATGAGGCATCAACCGTAATATTTTGGTCTGTTATAGTTCCTCCATTTTATATATATTTTTTATGAATTAACGAAGATTTATGTCAGCAATTAGGACTTGTTTTTCAGAAATTCAGAAATCATAAATTCTGACATGTCTCTCAGAAGTTTCTCATATTTCTCGGTAATTCTTTACTTGTCTCTCAGTAACTCTGACTTTAGTAATAAATTCTGACGTGTTTCGAAAATTCCGACTTGTTTCTCATAAATTGTGACGTTTCTCAGAAATTCTGATATATTTCTTGGAAATTCTGACCTAGTTCTCAGAAAGTTCGACTTAAATCATAAATCCCTACATACTTCTCAGAAACTCTTACATATTTTTTGATAATTCTTTATTGGTTTTTCAAACATTCCGACTTCAGTAATAAATTCTAACATATTTCTCAAAAATGCTGACATGGTTTTTACAAATCCTTGATTGTTTCTCAAAAATTCTAACTTAAGTCAAATTATGACGCTTTTCAGAAATTTCGATATATTTATCGGCGATTTTGACATATTTTTCGAAAATTCCTACTTGTTTCTCATAGATTCTGACATGTTTCCCAGAATTTCTGATATATTTGTGGAAAATTCTGACCTAGTTCTCAGAAAATCTGACTTAAATCATAAATTCTGACATTCTTCTCAGAAACTCTTACATATTTCTCTGTAATTCTTAACTTGTTTCTCAAAAATTCCAACTTCATTAATAAATTCTGACATAATTCTCATAAATTCTGACATAATTCTCGAAAATTTGGAATGGTTTTCAGAAATTCTTAATTTTTTCTCATAAATTATGACGTTTTTCAGATATTGCGATATATTTGTCGGAGATTCTGACATATTTTTCGAAAATTACGACTTGTTTCTCGGAAATTCTGACTTGTTATAAGATCTGATTTGACTATAGCTATAACTAACATTCTTAGAGGGAAGTAGTCCATCTGATTATTATAAAGCGTCAGAACAATGCGAAAATTGAAGAACACTTGAAGAAAATTATGGCTACCTACATGACCTACATATGTCAAATGTCAACCAGTTGACGTATTTTTCTTTTTTACACCCAGATATTGATTTGTCGACCCGAGAAACGTGCCGATAAATTCGACATTGAGAAAGTGTAAAAAAAAAATATTTGAGCGTTCATTTACTTAACAAATGTACAAAATGTCGTTCCTGGAATCTAGGCTAGCGTTTAATTCGAGCTCGCGTGATTTTTGTCGACACGAATCTGCGAAGGTCGCTATAAAATAATTGACGTACGGTCCAATTATAAGCCATTTCGCTGAATTAATTTTATCCGCAAGAATGTGCTCGTTTAGGTGTCGAAAGGGAGGTCTGCTAGTCGGCAAGCCATTTTGTATAAAAAATTTGTTATAGTTTTTAGCATCTCTCTAGTTCTCTTGATTACTATTGTTATTATTATTATTATTATTATTATTATTATTATTATTATGTCACTTTGATTCTTGTTGATGGCAGCCATAGTTTTGTTGTTCGTCATCACTCTTCACTACGTCTCTTTATCACTGTGTCTTATTCGTCAGGTCACAATATTCATAGTAAAATGATTTTATTAATCACAATTGAAATTGATTTACAATTCGTCTAAAGAAAATTGGGTACTACTTTTAAAATCTAATATTAACTAACTAACTTGCCCAACAACGACGTATAAACGAGAAAGAATAAGGGTCCTAAGATGCGACCTTGCGGAACCCCGGAATATGTAACCGATCAGATAAAATATTATCACACTGTACAGTTTGAGACCTATCGTCTAAATGGGAACACAATGGGCGACACAAGAAAGTGGGAACACTCTATAATAAATTTTTAATTTTTTTTTTAGCTCTCGCCCTCTTAAATGTTTCTTTTTGATATGAAAAAAAGTCCTTATCAAAGATGAGCCCTGTAGCTTGAGTCTAGGGGGTCGCTATTTTTTTTTAGTTTCCCATTTAATTAACATGGGAAAAATTCTTTTTCCACTAAAATTAAATTTACGTATAATGTTCGCTATTTTTTACAAAAAAACAATTTATATTGTTAAAGTCGAGTCTTTAAGCTTTCCAAAACCGTATAACAAAGTATGATTAACATAAAAAAAATTAATTACAGTCATTTAAAAATTACTAAATTTTGAACCATGTCACTATATACAGGGCCGTGAAATAAAGTTTAAGGAACGGGACACCCTAGATACATAGAAATACTATTAATCTATCTAGATTTTCGTATTATTTAAATTCTCACTATACACAGGGCGGTCAAATAAAGTTTAAGGAACGGGACACCCTATCTACATAAAAATACCATTAATCTATCGAGTTTTTCGTATTATTTCAATTGTCACTATATACAGGGCGGTCAAATAAAATTATATGTTTTTTTTAGTACAACAATAAACAGTGTCGCACTTATTGCCATGCGCTCATAAATCTTATCTTCTAGATGCAGTACTCGAAGAGCTTTCCCTTCGAATCGATCCGCAAGTCGATAATTATTTCGAAGCAACGTCGACCGTCTCCGTCACTTGTTCGGTTGCGGTTTTGAAACAAATGGAAAATTCACTTTCACGACGCGAACTAACGTCGGATAAATTATGTCCATCGTTTTGCTTTTGCCGCGGTTTTCAATAAATAAGGTATTATTTACAAAGTTGACGTTATAGAAAGCGGCGTTAGACGCGAACGTACCGCGCGATCCCGTCGTCGGTCGTTAATCATGCGGTGCCGCATTTTCTCTTATCAATAAGCCCCGTAATTAGAGTAGATTTTTACACCCGACGCGATCTCCTAGGTATAGTGCGTCTCGAAGTATATACATGTGTTCAGAAATCTGTCACTAGAGGCCACTTTACCTAGAAATTTTTTTTATTGTCCCTGTATTCTAGGCTGATAGTGTAAAATAGAACAAAATAAATAAGAACTAAAAGTTCAGATTTTCACGAAATTTTATATTTTCCCATGACAATTGTTTCGACAACACCGTGACATTAACAAATGTAATATTTACAAACTAGCTGGTACTATATATACCGAAAAATGACAATAAAACCTTAATTAATATTGTTATGAGAATTTAAGTTTAATAATGGAGACGTATTTAAATCTAGTTGATCGTTAAGCAATACATTTGAATATCTCATTTTGTTAATCTCCAATAAATTTAATTTTCTACTTTTTGTGACTGGATGTAAAATGTCAAAATTGTCGTCAAAAATGTGTTTTTCTGTGTTTAAGTGTGTAGCATAATTAGAATCTAGACTATTGTTTTTAAACGCTCTTTTATGTTCGTTGATGCGTGTCTTGTAGGACCTACCTGTATGTCCAATATAAATTTTAGGACAAGATCCGCATTTCAACCTGTAGACACCTGATTTTTGAGATTTTGGACATTTCATTTTATTGTTTTTTAAAAATTTTCTATTG